TCAACTTTGGACATAGGTGTTTTGGGTTATATCGGCATACTTTAACATAAGGAACACCCTCCCGAAGTTTGGCACATTCCTCCTGGGACACTCTGTACACGGTGCCAAATCCCAGAAGATTGCTTTCTTCATGTTATTTTAATTTAGTATGCCTTCATTTCATGAAATATATATTTATAGTTTCAGATCTGCCATATTTTTTTAATAGTACTTTTAATATTTCATCTACAATATTCTGTAAATTCCCATTTATCTGGTATTCAAGCATCTGGAATTTGTATCTGAAAACAATTCCAAGGAAAATTCACTTCGAGTTAAGTTATTTGAAAACAAATTTCCAATGCTCATACGTTCACTGTCATGCAGTAGCTGCCATTGCGCTCGACACTAGCTGAATTTGTTGCTACGTTGCCAGTACATGTGCTGCATATCTTTTGCTTGTAAATTCACCATGTCACATAGGAAGATTATTCAAGATCTAAAGCAAGAACTGTGGTTTTGACTTCATCTTGAGTTTCTATAGGAGATTTTTTCGGACATTTGACAGATTCATGTACATGGCACATCCCATTCTCCCCTGCTTGTCAGATAAGGAGTTTATGCTGCACAAAATGGGGTTATCAATCTATACAACAAATTGGAGAACATTAATGTTGTGTAGTATGATACTTCTGCCTTATGTCAATAGTTTTTACAAAGGGTTAAATAATTCTTTTGTAACCAACTCGTTAAATATTATTTTCTTCTTAAACTCGTATCCCTCAAAATTGTAGTTCATTTTACATTTGGGGGGGTACATTAAATATGGACAGATAAGATGAATATTTGAGTGTAGGGGAGCATTATAAGGTTTGTTCCTGGATGTATAGTTACACTTACCCGACTACATTTGTTTTTATGAATGTTCCAGTTGACCAGCTCAGTTCTTTTTCTGAAAGGTCGAGTGTATGAAGCAATGGATAACAGGGGGCTGGCCGCAGACTGCTACAAGCAAGCGTTGCGCTCTGATGTGCACTGTTACGAAGCATTCGAAGCACTTGTCCAGCATCAGATGCTGTCTGCACAGGAAGGTATCATGACATGACCCTGAAGATGGAGGCATTATATTCCTTTGAAACGTTCTACCAGACAATACAGAGGCACATCTCAGATGACAGTACTTGCAAGTGAATAGATTTAAGAACGTACACTGTAATTACGAACTGCAACGGGCGCTGTCAGACAGAGCTGGGATAACTTGGCTGGTATAGTGACGGGGTATGCATTCAGTGGCTGAGGAACCAGGGTTCAGCTCATGGCAGGAGAAACATTTTTTTCTGTAGCAGCTAGACTAGCTGTAAGGCCCACCCACACTCCTTTCCCGTTGGTACCTGTGGCTCTTTCCTCGGAGATAAAGCATCTGAGGCACAAATCTGACCACTCTCCTGCATCTAGTGCCGAGATTAAGAACACATGGAGCAGTACTTCCACTCCCCCATATGTCTTCATGGTGTGATGCCTAATTAATCTGTTACTATATGCGGAAAACATTGCTGGCCTCCACACTGCTTGGGGTGCAGTTGTAATGACAACTTTAACCCTGTGTCTCCTCAATGATCACTTCTTTTCAGGCTTTTTGACTAAAATTTTGTCTTTGTCCTAGGTGATTGATCACACTTCATTTTGAGTTCTATTTCTATCCCTCTTTTAGGAGTACAGTAGCAGTGTTCACTGTGTCGCTGTGAGGGAATGAATATTAAATGATCTACTTGCATCCAAGGAACCACAGGATGTGGCTACATGCACCATCTTGTGACAGAGGAAGGAAATACTAGCTCAGAGCACTTAGGATAGAAAAACCATTGGCATTACTGAAAGTAAACAATTATAGTCTCCTGTTATAGTTCACACATGTCACCTGTAATTAGCCAAGCTCGTTTATGGGGGCAAATGTTTTGACAACAGTTGTGGTTCCGGTAGTTCTCAGTTTCTCGTGAGACGAACTGTCATGTTTTTCAGGAACATGATTACTGTGGTTTGGCAAGATTGCTCTCACTACTCATGAATTTCTGGTGTTTCAGAACAAGAATTGCTGGAGTCGTTACCTGCATCACGCCAGTGTATCGATGCAGAAGAGCAGCTGTTGCGATTGTTGTATGAGAGCAAACTGAAGAAGTACCAGTCGCCGAGTGAGTCACTGCCACCTCCTCCACCTGCTCTTGCTTCGAATCTAGATGTAGCTGTGGCGCAGGCTGAACGCCACTACTACAACTGTAATTACCAGCAGTGCAGTCGCATCACTGAGGAGTACGTTCAGTTCAGATATTTCATGGGTTTCTTTTTTTATTTATTCTCCTGTGGTATCACCTCTTTGTGTTTATGTAAGCACGAGGTTTATCATCGTCATCATGCAATTTATGGTTGCCAGAGCAATGAATTGTTAAGTGTTAACATGCTTCATGAACATAAGTTATGGGGTAATGTAGTTGCGTTGAGGCAGTATGCTATGGGCTGGAAGGTCACATGATTGATTCCCAATGAGGTCATTGGATTTTTCAGTTGACCTAATCCTTCCAGCTGCACTATGACCCTGGGGTCGACTGAGCCTCTAACAGAAATGAGTACCAGGAAACTTTCTAGGGGTATAGGGCAGCCGGCATGTAAGCCTGACAACCTCACCGTCAACTGTGTGCCGATGGTCTAGAAAATGTGGGAGCCTCGACATATGACAACCCTATGGGCCTCCACAGTCTGTTACAGGGACAGCTTTACCTTTTTACATAAGTTAGATAATGGGTTATTAATGAGTGAGAAGTCTTTTGTTTCAGTGTATTGTGCGTATTCTGTGAGTACTGATAATTTTTTGTTGTGAATAAGTTATATGCAGTATGCTGCATGAAGGATACGGTTTATGAGTAAATGTTTATGCTTGTTATTCATGGGAGATGGCATTAAATATTAGCCTTAATGCATCATTCAGTAACATGTAGGGCTGGGAAGGAATGCAGGAGAAAGTAAGGAGAATTTAAGACTAGGAAAGCTTGTATAAGAAATGACGAGATTTCTCATTACATTCTCAGTGAGTGTTACACTCGCTGAGTTTAAAAACAAGGGTAGAATTGTGTCTGCTGCAGTTTTACTCTGTATCAGATATTGGTTGCTTACCTGTGCTCTTTCCAGGCTGTCACGGTAACACACTGAGGGTGTTTGAGAATGGGTGCTGAATATTTGGACCCAAGAGGGGAGGGAGTTACAGAAAGGGTGAGAAAATTGCATAATGAGGACCTTCATCAGATATGATTCGGATGATCAGTTCAAGGAGCATAAGATAGACGGAACATGTAGTAACGTGAAGGTATGGACTGGGTTAATGTGGCCCAGGCTAGGGTCCAGCAGTTAGCTGCAGTGTTTCCAGATCTGAAGCAGGACTTCGCTGTCGGTGCAGTCCCATTTAAGCACTGTTCTATTATTGTGTTGCAGAGTCCTGAAGAAGGATCCCTATCACAGTGGCTGTCTGCCTGTCCACATTAGCTGCCTAGTGGAGCTCAAGAAAGTTAATAGTGAGTGACTTTAAAGCTGAGTGGTAACTATATGCACCACCTGCTTCAGCTTTTAAAACTCTGCACTTTGCCCACACAGTGTACTGTTTATGCATCCCCTATGAACCTTGCAGTAATTAACCATTATCCTTTAAGAGCCTAGCAACACCATATGGGTATGTGTAGTCCACGCGTGCGCACAGTGTTTAAAATCTAATTTTAAGATAGAAATTCTTGTTCCACTTACATTATTTTTGGGCACCCGCTTTATAAGTAGACAGTCTTCCCTCCTGCATCATCTAACTAAATGCAGAGTCCAACGTCGCAGTTCATGCACGTTGTCCGGATGTAACTCCATTTCCCACATGAAGAGCACACATGACACCTCAGTCTCATATTAGAGGAAGTAAGTCAGCCAGTGATGTTGAGTGGCCTCCTCTAATTGTAACGCTTATAAAACATCACAGTTTCAACCATCCACCATGGCCTCATTTTACATGGAAGAAGCCAAAATTGAGAGGCAGCTGATAAATGACACTGATTCAGACCGCGGTACAAACGACTCTGAAAGTGGTGAGGAAGCAAGGGGCTAGTCTTGAACGTTCAGCAATGCGGGGCTATTCCAGGAACAGTACCTCTGTGTGGCTAGTCCAAGATTACACAGAGTTTCTGAAGGACAAAATACAGTAAGACTTCAGTCACACTTGTGCATACAGAAAGGTTCTGACATGACTGGAGAATGTGCAATACAAACATAAACTTCCACCCCTTTTGCCAGATAAGACACAGTAAGACAGGACGTCAGCAGCATGCGTTTATACTGCAGAAACTGTAAGCATATTTGTGGACAGATGCTCAAAATTGGGGAAAAATTTTTTTTTGGAATCAGTGTAACAATTTTTACAGATTTTAAAATCTGTAAATTACAATATCTGGTTCTATATTCTTTCTAGATAAAAGCATCATTTATTTCGTTCGTTTATCACAAAAATTGTAGAAATCACAGCATTTTCAGTAACATGCTTACAATTTTTAATACTCTACAATGGCGGGCATTTAAATTAACTCTGGCATGCTGCCATTCCCAGAATTTAAATGGCCCGTCTCTTAAAGGTTATTCCGCATTAACTGGTTGGTTGTTACACAGATGTAGTGTTTCCTGTGAGGAAGGAACTAGATTTTTATATATTTGGGCTTGAAAGGGCTGAAGGGAAAGCATTGTAAATTTCTGAGGTTCTCACATTGTTGACCAAGATATGATGCCATATAGTCGTCCAAATCATCTCCAGTGATCTGGAGGAGTCAGTGGCCCCATTTCGAGGGTAGAGCAGTAAGTCGTGCATGGATGGAAGTGGCACAGGTACAGGGGAGGGAGGATGTAACCAGGGCCATGAGCAGATCAGTGAGAGGGAATAAGGAAAATATCAACAAAAAAACTTCATGGATTTAGTCCGCAAGCGAACTATACCGACTGCCGCTTATCGGCGAAGTTGGTGCTAACTCTAACGGATAGAGGGTGTCTCATGTTCAGCGCATTACATTCTCGCTGGCATTAATTTTGATTTCCTAGACCGGCGCCGATATTTCCTTGAGATAGCTCGAATAAGGAGAACACTAAAGAATGTTGACCCTTGAAGGGTCTTTCACAAGAGGTGAAAGCAGTGTTGGTACTTTCTGCCAGAGTACATAATGTCAAATTCCAGGAGGTAGTAAGAGATTCATACTCATCACTATTAGAACATCAGATCTCATGACGTGTAGAAATTTGTAGTCTTAAGAAGTGTTTGTAATGGCACTAAATTAGTTTAGTGAAAACAAATGTCAGGTGTGTGTGTTTTTCTCAGTGACCTCCCAGTCAGAATGGTCATGCACTCCATTTGGTGCAGTATTTCGATATGTCTGCTTTGTTGCGATTTGAGCGTGATACCCTGAGAAGCATATGCATTTGGTATCATTGAATTATTGTTACAGAATTGTTCTATCTTGCCCACCGGTTGGTAGACCTTCATCCCGAGATGGCCATCGCCTGGTATGCTGTTGGTTGCTACTATTATGTTATTGGTGAGTCCAGTACACGTCATGTGTAATTTTGGGGTTTGAGGTTCTGAAAATTGTATTATTAACGTCAAGGTCTTTTTGGGGTAGGGGGATGTTAAGATGTGCAGTGTGGTAGATACGTACCAGCGTTTCAGACAAACATAATGTCTCAGTTTTCAGTGTTCCTCTGAAATGTTGCTCCTCACCAACAGACTACAGTAGGCTCCTGACTGATTGTGCCTAGTGTCATGAGATAACCTTGGTGCTTTTCCAAAAGGAACAAGTACAAAATGAAGGGAGTTTTATTTTGTGTTTGAATGTCTACATGCAAATTCAAGAAGGCTTGCTTTCTTTCTTTGGTTTTTATTTTCAGTCTGTAGACACTGCAAGCAGCTTCTCAGAAGCTGCACTTATGTTTCTGCCTGTAGCACTCAAGTAAAGTATGTAAGCATAGGTTCAGTTATGAGAAAGATTTCTTAAAGAAATGTTTTATATTTATTACAGGAAAGAGTGACCCAGCGCGAAGGTACCTTAGCAAGTCAACAGCGCTAGACAAACTCTTCTCCCCAGCCTGGCTTGCTTACGGACATTCTTTTGCGGCAGAAAATGAACATGACCAGGCCATGGCCGCATACTTCAAAGCTTCACAGCTTATGAAAGGGTAATACTTCAAGAAATGTAATGTCTGATCAGGTAGAGTCTTGTGCACACAGTACTGAACTCCTGGGTTCCCTAAAATAGGGTGAATATCTTGACAACTGAGCAGCTGTTAGCCTCAGGAAGGGATCTGCTCTCTCCAGTTAGCTGATTATGTGATTCTTTGTTGATTTTCATTTTTGTAAGTTGTTGGCATGATTACGAATGTAAAAAGTTTTTCAGTTAAATGTTCTGCACGCCATAAAGGTAAATGTGTCATTGTGCTTAATTAATTAAGCACTATGCCATGAAGACATGGGCAAGTGGAGGTATAGCTCCACAATTCACAACCTTGGCACTAGATGGGAGTCAGCAGTCAGCTTCATGCCCATGCCGCTTTACCCCCACTGGCAGAAGGAGCCCTTGGAACCCATTGGATTGAAGGCTGGGGTGGCACTAAGAGCCAGTCTGGACACTGGAGAAGAGAAATCTTGCACTGCCAGGACTCAAATCTGGGCCATCCAGCCTCATAGCCTGTTACTATACCAACTGAGCTATCTTGACTCCTGTTCCAGTCATCATGATATTTTTGTTAAAAATTTAAATACTTTTGCTTTCTCTGTCCAGGTTCGTCTCCTGCCTGAAGGTAAGGTCAAGGATTGAGGGTTTGAGGTTTGAGGTTCTCGTAGCAATGGCGACGAAGTTTATGTTTTGGAGCCGTGTGCTGCCTTTATTTTCAGGGTGGACGAATTTACTCTTTTTTTGCACCGAAGCTGGCATCAACAGGTTTATGTAAAATGTTTTGTTAGTAACATGCTACCAAACTATACCATGCCACATCCCAGAAGACTGTGCTATTTATGTATTGAAAGTGTTTCAAGAGCAGGACATTAGGGGGAGTATTTGAACCCAAGAGAGAAAAGGCGATACAACAATAGAGACAGTTGTATGACGACCTTCAAAATTTGTCAGGATTAATGGTTTTCGGGATGTTGTCCGTCAACTATAAATCTAAAGAAGACAGTGTTTCAGAAACTGAATCTGTTCCTGTCTTCAGATGTTGGGGTGGGGTCCATTAGAAAGAGCAAACCTCAATCACTGGTCTAGTTACCACTCCCCACCCCTTTACCTGAAAACAGAGGCAGAGCTGGTTTTAGAAATGTTCGATCAGGTCCAGAAGAGCCAATAACTCTGGCTTCTGACTTCTTCGATGAGGCTTTTGAACCTGACAGAGGCAGATCTGGTTTTAGAAAGGTTGGATCAGGTCCAGAAGAGCCAATAACTCTGGCTTCTGACTTTGGTGAGGCTTTTGAACCTGACAGAGGCAGATCTGGTTTTAGAAAGGTTGGATCAGGTCCAGAAGAGCCAATAACTCTGGCTTCTGACTTTGGTGAGGCTTTCGAACCTGAAACTTCGTCTGCGTTGTCCTGAAAGCTCTTTCAACTTTCAGTTGCCACTTGCCGCTGTTGTACATTGGACTTGAATGTGGCTTGACGAACAATGTGAAGCTTGCAGACAAATTCTTTCTGCAGTCCCAGAGCATAGCCCCTCAGGACCCCTTCGTGATACATGAGATGGGAGTAATCTGCTTCCAGAATCGTGAGTAAGTTAACGGTACACTTCTCTAAACTGAAACGATACTTTTGTTTTAAAGTATTACAATTTTCACTTAGTAATTTGAGAGTCAAATTATTATCACAGCTAACATTGGATGTTGCAGTTATGAAGCTGCAGAACGCCATTTTTCAGAGGCGCTGTCTCGTCTGCAGGCCATCAAGGAGCCAGTTCTACCCAACAAGTGGGAACCTCTCTTCAACAACCTCGGTCACACATATCGTAAGCTGCAGAAATATGAGGACGCTCTTGAATATCATCGCCAGGTGAGTACCTTGTATGCACTGATAGTTGCTCAGTGAGGCAAGAAGTTCCCCACATTATGGAACCCAGAGATTCATTTCTGTACTCACAAGAGCCAATAGCATTCCCACCTTATTTCTTTAAGATATATTTTAATGTTATTCTTCCATTTATGCCTGGGTTTTCCAAGAGGTATTTTCCTGTCAGTTTTTGTTAACAAAACTATGCTCTGTAAGATTTGAGGTTTTCATGGTGGTGGCTATGAAGAAAGCAGTCTTCTGGGATGTGGCACCATGTAAATGTGGAGGTAACCGACGTTTCGGAGAAACGTATCGCCTCCATCTTCAGGGTAGAAGGAAAAATAAGAAAATCCGCAAGCCTGCAATAGTCTGCTTGCATCTGTCTCTTTGCTTGCGGATTTTCTTATTTTTCCTTCTACCCTGAAGATGGAGGCGATACGTTTCTCCGAAACGTCGGTTACCTCCACATTTACATGGTGCCACATCCCAGAAGACTGCTTTCTTCAAAACTATGCTCTGATCTCTCTTGGTTTCAGAGGAGCTCACCCAAAAGAGGGGGCAGGAAATTCCTCTGAAATGTTGGTATCTGTCTACAAAACCGCACAGCGACACATCCCAGAAGACTTTACTGAGTTGTTGGAAACCTGCATAGAATTTGTGATGACAAGGCTGATCTCTCATTTTTCTCTTAATTCTTCCTTTATTTGGAGCCAATCATTTTACTGTTTCCCCACTGCTTATCACTGTTTATCGCAAATACTTTCCGCAAATCGTGTAGCATACAGATCTGTGCATTTCTTTGCAGGCTCTTGTCCTTTCGCCTTCCAATCCATCAACATATTCTGCTATAGGCTTCATACATGCAATAATTGGCAACACTGATGAAGCCGTCGATGCGTTCCACAAGGCGTTAGGCTTACGGCGAGATGATACGTTCAGCACGACGATGCTGAGTTACGTGATTGAACAGCTAGCAGAGGAGACGCCCCCATTTCAAGGTTCCATTCTGTTTTGCTTCTGCCTTATACTTGTGGCCATTGCTGTTTGCTAGTCAACAGCGTACAGTTGTTTCTTTTTTCCCCTTAGGTGCGCCGAAACAAATACCACCATTTGATTTCCCAACACCGATGCCACCATTAACTGTGGGTAAAACAGATGTGTCTGCAGTTAACTTGGACTCGGTGACTACACCTGGTTGCAGCGATACCATCTTATCGAATGGCACACCCCAGTACGAAGTGGATATGCAAGATTCGTCACTTGAGGAAGCACGCCATGATGTCACTTGAAACGCTCGTCATCGTAGGTTACTGTCATCTCACAGAGGAGGGACATGAATGCTTGCTGCTGATCAGAACTTGAATGAGGTCTTGAGGTATGTCTGTGCCCTACAGAGCAAACAGTTTGTAAGGGGCTAGGAGCGGGAGGGCCAAATCTTGAAAGCTGAGTGAATAAGGGGAAGTTGGTCACTTACATGGAAGTTCTGTGTGTGTGTGAACATGTAGACAGATTTACTGTGTTGGATATGAGGAATTCGTAATGACAAATTGCTTCATGAGTTGCAAAATTCAATATGACATTCACTTGCTTCTTCTTGTCCATTTGCCATCACATGTCACATTTTATTATTGCAGTGGAATGTCAGTTGTGCATCATAACTGCATGTGGGCCCGCAGAATGTTTTACAGTAAGTCAAACTGTGTGTACCTGGGTATACATCAATCAGTCCCTCTTCCTCGAGAGATACGTAGTCTTACAATAAAGTTTGCGGACTCGTCGCAGTAAGAGTGCTGCAAGCCTCGCTACTAAATATTGCTGCGGTCACTTTCAAAGTACTGCCCTTGGGAAGGTACGCGCCGATGCCAGCGCCTAGTCCACCCTTCAAAATGCCTTCCTTTCAGTATTTATTTTATCTTCAGGAACAGAAAAAAAGTCATTGGTGGCTAGATCTGTAGAACAGGGAGAGTGTTCCAGCACAGTTATTTGTTTACTAGCTTGAAACTCCCTCACAGACAGTGTTCTCTGGTGAGCTCATGTGGAACCATTTTTGCACACACTTTCCTCATGTCAAGGTCTTCAGTTAAGATTTTCCTAACCGTTTCTGTGTCGATGTTTGCTTGCTCTGCTGTGCACTTGACAGTCAGCCCACAATTCTCACCCACAATTTGATAAACTTTTGCAATGTTTTCTTCAGTTTGCTCGTTGCTGACTGTCCTGATCTCTCTTCATCAGTGACATTTTCTCTTCCCTTAGAGAAACGTATCACCCACTTGCAAACTGCTGTTTTCTTCACAGCCTTATCCCCGTAAACTTGCACTAACATCTCTCTGATTTCGCTTCTGCTCTTGCCAAGTTTAACAAAAAATTTAGTGTTCATTTGTTGCTCTAATTCAAGCTCCAGCATTCTCGCAGTGGCACATCAAAACACACTCAGAAAGTGACTGCAACACAGCTGTAAAACACTGGTATGCCAGTGTCATCAAATCATACTGAGGTTTCTGTCCACTGCTGCCACAACAAGCACATGGTGGCGAGTTTGCGAACTTTGGGATGTTGTCAGACCTCGTGAGTTCATGAATAGGACTGTAATTCTCCCAGTTTCAACATTGAAACAGATTTTTTTTATATTTTTAACACCAAATCAAAGTTTTCACTAGGTAAGGGTTATACAGGATTATAAAAAATTGTCAGACTACGTGAAAGACACTGTACAATTATGATAAAATACAATTTCTTTATTAAAACCGTCACAACACAAATATATTAAGGTCAGTGCATAGTTTGGCTCTGCCAATAATAATAATAATAATAATTAATAATTTAATCAAGAAATTATATATTATAACAAAACAGGATGGATGAAATGAAAATTATGATAAAATAGTTTCCTTTCATAAATAGTTGAAGGAACTATTTCCATGCAAAGAAATATATAATGACTAATATATAATTTCAGAATTAGTGAACGGTATATGAAATAAAGAGCAAGTCAAAATCAGTCATGTCACAAATGGTGTAGTTTCTCCTTGTGTTCAGTGTGTGATGTGACTTGCCGATGGCAGTGATTGCACAGTAATGACTTCCAGCAAAGCGTAAACGTCAATATCAGTCATTGTTTTGACCACAGTTGCACTAAACTGAGAAAGATTTCTGGAAGGTCAAATATTACTTCCCCTAAATGTAGATTATTTAGTAAATCAAAATTCACTAAACTAAACTAAAGTGTCTTTATAGGCTGGGACCAGAAGAAATATTGACTGAGTGCAGGAAGACTAACCTGGGATTTAACTATAATTACAACTTATTTGCATTTTTGTGCTGATATTCATAATCCTTATATTGCTGATGTCAGTTACATGAATGGTAAAAAGAAAGCTTATATAAAGTGGCATGGCCCCACCGCAAGTGCCATAACAGTGACCGAATGTCATTTTATGGTTATGCTTAAAAGCAGTGCGAGATTTGCATATTGATATAGGGTCTGCAAAATAATATGAAAAGGTAAGTGATGAAACGGGCCGCGCCATAGCTCAAGCGGTTAGTCGCTGGCTTCCCACCAAAGTGGCCCAGGTTCGATCCTGGGTCTGGTCAAGTGGAATTTGTGGTGGACAAATTGGCGCTGGGGCAGTTTTTCTCCGTGTACTTTGGTTTGCCCTGCCAATCTTCATTCCACCAAATTCTTCATCATGATAATCACGTGGGGCAGGCTACAGTAGGCCAATCAGTGGACGCAGATAAGACTCCATGCCCCACTAAGCGATTTTAAATAAAAAAAAATTATGAAATGGGAAATTTCTGTGCATGTGTGTGTGTGTATGTGTGTACATGTGTGAAATTCTGGGCTTTTATATGAAAAATGTCTGAGCAAAATGCCTGTGTAATGAAGCTTTGATGATTTTGAAAATGTTTTTGTTAAAATTAAAACGTGTAACAAACATTGTGTATTATATTGACAGTTATTAAATAAGAAGTTGCAAATCACAACGGCTTGTCCAGCCTGTTGACTGTAATATTATCCTCTGCTTCCAGCACTGTTTACATTTATAAAAGTTGCTAGTCTTTCCTTTTTGATTTCATGCCAGCCTGTTCCTCTCATCCTGAGGTCTCTAGTATTGACCATCCTATTGTTGTGCTTCCCATAGGCGTCTTTACCCTATATTTTACTTTCATGTCCTTAGTATCCATATGCACATTCTTTTTAACTGCCAAAACTATTAACAAATTCTGGATTGCATCTTGTCCAAAAATTCCATTCCCAATTATATCCCCTCCAGCCTTCCCCTCAATATTTCTCAAAACTTTCACACCTGTTGGTTGGATTTGCTTTAATTTCCTTTTGTAAGGGTCTGCATATTGGCACTGCTCTGAAGATTGCTTTGGATCTCTTGGTTTTGTAATTTTTTTAGACAATCTTGAATTATTTTAGTGTCTCCATTTTCCCATTTGAATTTATTTCACTTCCCAAGGAAATAAATTTTACAACTTCTATAATCATGCCATTAATGTTTATATTCATGCTTGTGTCTGAGGTAGCACGCGGTAGCGTAGTTGATTGAGGGGCTATGCTACAAGCCGGAAGGTCGCAGGTTCAACTCCTGATGAGGTCATTGGATTTTTTCAGTTGACCTAATCCTTCCAGCCGCACTACGCCCTGGGGTTTATTCAGCCTCTAACAGAAATGAATACCAGGAATTAATTAAATAATTTTCCTGGGGAGTAAAGCGCAGCTGGTGCGTAAGGCTGACAACCTTACCGCCATCTTTGAACCGATTGTCTAGATAGTGTGGGACCCTCAACATCTCACAACCCTATGGGCCTTCACGGCCTGGTACAGGGATAGCTTTTTTTTTTTCTTTCTTTATTCATGCTTGTGTCTGTGTTTCAAACAATGCTTTCAAAATAATGAAAGGCATAAAAACAAACTATAACTGTAGTTATTGCTTTGTATGGGTGTGAAACCCAGTCTCTCATCCTAGGGGTGGAACATAGACTGAGGGTGTTTGAGAATAGGGTGCTGAAGAGAAGATGGAAGTAACAGGAGAGTGGAGACAGCTTCATAGTAAGGGGCTTTGCAAATTGTGGGACATGCAGGATATGAGAGATGATGGGTGCATAACAAATTTTAGGAGGACAACCTTTCGTACAGGCATGACTTGTTATAACTCAGGTTTTAAAAATTCTGTTCATTTTTAAAAGGTTGTATTTTCATTTCTGACATTTATTCTTGATTTCTAGACAGAAATCTATATATTTCCATATGAATAACGTAAATTTTGTTTTCATACTGGGTCAAAAATACCTTTATTTATAAGATAATGATACGAAATATTATGTTAAACATAGTATTACATAAAAAACCAAATTTATTAATGACTGCAATGTACACTAGTAGCCCAGGATGTCACAGAGTGTATAATATTTCCTGTTATGATAAACAGATTTACTCAGACATCCATAAAGGTCATTAATCTTCAAGCAGTCTGTTTTACTGATGGCTTTCCTTTGTCCCAGTTTGACATTCTCCTTCTTGGGAATGATTGTGGGTTGTCCTCTTGTTTTGCTGCAAACAAAAAGTTTAAGCCTGCAAAACTCTTAGTGAAAGACACTTTTATATTGCACAATGCTCCAGTTACTGCGGGTGTCTGAACATGTCAGTCAGTTCTCTGGTAGCGGAATCTGAAGGTTCAGCACCACTAATACCAGACCTCACCATTTTACACAATCCTGAGCCGGTTCCATCCACCTCCCGTTGTCACAGCCCCTTTTCCTAAATATCTTAATGTTATCCTCTCAGCTTCTCAGTTTTCCAAGTTGATGTTTCCCAAAAGATTCCCAATTGAATTTTACTGTTTTAACATAAAGGAGAGGGATGAAGGAAGGGGGAGTGAAATGAGCATTCAAATTGGATCCAAAATATCTACTGCAATACTTGCAAATCACTTTGATAGCCATGACTACCGTACATATTAGCAAGAGTGTGCGGAGTAAAATTTCATAATATCTTAAGATGTTCACCATTAAGTCTACAGTAGTCCAGTAACAGTAAGTGGACACAGTTGAGTACTCACCTAAAGAAATACTGCCCATAATGCATGATGCTGTCGTAATCATACTCAAAATTGTAAGTTGTGTTTTCCAAGCTCTGCTTGTTGAAGTTATTTCGGTACTCTGCCAACATGAGTAGAAATGTGTCATATGCTGACTTATGACAGTCTGAATATTAATTTCACCCTTATTTATTTATGAATTATTTAACTATAAATAAGAGCCGAGATAGCACAGTCGGTTTAGCGACTGGGTACGGGCTGGATGATCAAGGGGTCAGAGTTTGAGGACTGGTAGGCTAAAAAATTTTCCCTTCTCCACGTCCAGAGCGGCTCTGGGGCTCAGCCAGCCTCCTCTCCAATGGACCAGGGCGTGAAGCTGACCACTCACCTCCAACTAAGTGCCAAAGTAAAAAAAAATGGAGATATACATTCACTTCCCCATACGCCTTCATGGCATAGCACTTGGTTAAGCACAGGGACAACTTCTATCTTTTTTTAACCATAAATAAATAGGTCTCCTTATCTCATGTGAGAGTGGCCACAAGTGTGTGGGTACCAGTTACACTACTTCACTGCACTGCATCTGATGTATCTGACCCTTAAGCCTTTAAAGCAAAGTGGTAACTATGTGTACCACTTGCTTTAACATTAAAAATCTCCACATTTTGCCCATACAGTGTATTTATATGTTCCATATGGTTCTTGCAATAAAAGCCATCATTTCCCCAAAGAGCATTAACCGGTTAGTCGTAGCGGAGACGTGATGTGTTTCCTGCGAGGTACGGACTGAATTTTTATATAACTTATTTACATGAACTATGGCGTCTGCATGTGACGTAACTCAGAATTAATTTTGATTGGAAACTCCTCTAGAATGAACATATGAACAAGATATTAGCAAGAATTTTACAGCTGTACTTCCTCCTCACAGAGGCACACAGTAGTATAGTTGGTTGAGGCACTAGGCTACAAGCCAGAAGGGTCGATTCCCAATGAGGTCATTGGATTTTTCAGTTGATCTAATCCTTCCAGCCACACTATGGCCCTGGGGTTGACTCAGCCTCTTAACAGAAATGAGTACCAGGAATTTTCCTGAGGGTAAAGGGTGGCTGGTGCATAAGGCTGACAACCTCACTACCATATATGAGCAAGTTATCTAGAAATGTGGGAGCCTCGATGTCTCACAACCCTATGGGCCTTCATGGCCTGTTACAGGGATAGCTTTATCTTTACCTTTACCTTACCTTACCCCCTCCTCAGGTACATTCAGGCCTGTTAAGGTACAGGATGTGATGTGATACCATGGCACATATCAAAGTAACATTGTTAGCATCTTCTGACTGGCAAGGAACAAACCGGGGAGGCTGTTCGTGTTGGGACCCTGTACTGACATCTGCAGCTGCTGCTGTCCCTCTCTTTGGATTCAGAGTTGTAACTTCTTTTGTATCGTCAGCGTTTCACCCATACAGTCTTCCTCATTAAGTTATATTGGCCTTTCTGCTGACTTACCTGGTATGATGTTCTCAAACTTCACATCAACATACATGTCCCTGTCGGCCCTTGACTGCTCGTGGAAGATGCCCAGTGCGTGCAGGAGTTCGTGGATGGAGCGACCCTCACCTCCAAGGCAGTTTGGACCATTCTTGTCCGGTGGCTGCAGCGACACGATCTGAGGACCTCCAAACCTCCCCACATATGACCAGCAGCTGTGGATTATGGGTGCTTATTGTATGTTTGCGACAAACTGGACCGTTTTATATATTCATCACATTTCCCAGGATGCTCACTAACCGGTTGCATCATTACTAACTCCAAGGAGGAGACTTCTGCTTAAGAAGTGAACAGTTGCGTAGCTAGTCAATTTCCCAGTATTCTATGGAACTATTTTTACAAGAGTCTGCCACTTGACCCCGTCCTGAGCTAGATAAATCCAGTCCGCACTTTCCCTTACTGTGTCTTTAAGAACCATTGTAATGCCCTTTCATCTACATCTAAGTCTTCCAAGCAGCTCTTTCCTTCAGGGTTGTCTGCCAAAACTTTGTATGCATTTCTGATCTCTCCCATTTATGCTACATGCCCCTCCTATCTCAGCCTTAATTCAGTCACCCAAATGATGTTCCTGAGTCATACAAGTTATGAAGCTCCTCCTCATGCAGTTTTCTCCAACCTCCTGTCACTATATCCCTTTTGGATCATAATATTCTGTTCAGCACCCTGCTCTCAAACACCCTGTGTAAGTTTCTCCCTTAATGTGAGAGATCAAGTTTCACACCCATACAGACCCACAGGCATAATTATATTTTTGTATATTCTGGCGCCACATTTAGAAATAATTTTAATTTCTGATACTAATATTTTTCTTCTCCAGTTTGGATTTTGTTCAAAGATTTCAAGGGGGTAGATGTTTCTGTTGCCCCCACCCCCTACTCTACCCCCATTGTATCAAAATATCTGATTTATTTTGACAAGTCAGCTTATAAGCCCCCCCCCACATTGTTGAGTTATATCTGCCTTACAGAAAATTCTTCCGTTCTCTGATATCAGCGCATACTCAACTCTGGTGTCTCTGTTGTCATGGTTATGGCATGTGACCTACCCTTTCGGCTGCTTGACAGGCCAGATGAGAAGATAATCCTTGTCCTTCCCGTTCCAGGGCACGAACCGGATACACGTCATCGAATTCAGAGTTATGATGGCCTTGTAAATCGTGACGTAGTCAGGCGTGTCTGTGACATCACAATACATCGTGTCAATTAATTAATCTCGTTGATCGGGTGAGATAAGATATTTTTATTTTTTGTAATGCTTTACTTGAAACTATATATAAGCGGTCTAAAACATCTCTGGGGACACGCTGTAGCGTAGTTGATTGAGACACTGTGCTACAAGCCGGAAGGTCTCGGGTTCGATTCCCGATGATTGCATATTTATATTGACCTAATCCTTCCAGTCACACTATGGCCCTGGGGTCGACTGAGGCCCTAACAGAAAGGAGTACCAAGAATCTCCCTGGGGGTAAAGGGCGGCCGGTGCGTAAGGCTGAGAACCTCACAGCCGTCTGTGAGCCGATTGTCTAGAAAATGTGGGAGCCTCGACGTCTCACAAACCTATGGGCCTCCACGGCCTGTTACATGGATAGATTTACCTCTTTTTGCCTTTAAAACATATCTGAGGGTATGTCATAGCTTGAACAGGCAACCTAACGGAAGAAAAGTCCCTATATTCAACGATATGTCCAGTATGTCAATTTTGACCCCCTTTGTATGTTGGAAATTGAATGTAGTAACCTTTTTAGCCTACTTTCCTTATTTTGAAAAAAAAACATAAAAGGTTTATGCGATCACCATTGCTGTCTGTGTATCTCCCCCACCCCCATCAACTTTTGAATGCCTGAACCAATCTTTACGAAACTTGGTATGTATATCATGGCACATGAGCCCATCTCAACGGCGTATTTTATAAGTTCCCCAATCAGTCTTTGTGCACATATGTGCATTCCCTTATCGCTGCTAGGCAACGGCTCGGTAACGAATACACATGTAACGATAGCGGAACTGTTGGTCGCGTCGTTTTCTTTGCGGCCCGTGCCGTATCAAGGAAAGTAGGCAGGTTTAACATTTTCGCCCTCTGAAGAAGACGGAATATCCCAGTTTCCTACAGCAGAGCGTAAACCCCAGTGGTGGGCACACATGCCTGTTATTTGGAAGGCCCTGGATTCAAGACCTGGCTCAGAGACCGGGTTTTCTGGCTTACGCTTGTGTGACATTCCTCGTTCCCTTCGGGCAGATGCCGAAATGTTAGGCCACGACCGCTCGCCTTACAATTCGACACTATACGTGTAGTCTCAGATAGTGGCTTTGAGTAAAGAGTAAATAATTGACTCCCTCACTCTGCAACGGCCAAGTGCTGGGACAGAGCTCAAGCCCCCAACTTAAAGGCCGAGGATGTGATACTGTGCTGCGTGATCAGAGCTATAGCATACCTCAGGGGGTAGTGATAGATAAGTGTGGAGCAATGGTGGAATGATGATTAGCAAGGGAAAAGTGAATAAACTCGGAGTAACCCTTTTTCCAGTGTCACTTCGTCCACCCCATATTTGAGGCGAAGTGATGGGGAACTGAACCCCAGGCTCTGCAGTAAGAAACCTGAGCTATGGCACTGCCCACACCATAAATAGAACTCACCGTATAGTGGGCTGATGACGTAGGGCACTGTCCCATTGGGCCACATTCGCTGAGGCATCACATCCCACCGGATGCCGATTCTCCAATAGTCGTACATCTAAACAAATAGATTCCGTCTGAAACATCTCTGCGGCTACGTCATGCCTTCAGTAGCCAACCTTACGGAAGCAAAATTCCTATGTAGCTTGTTAAGCGAGGCCTGGGGTCTGTGCGATTTTGGTACTTTTCGTACTTTGCAAATAGAACAAAACTTCCTAGTGATGACGTAACGGTTTACGTCATTATCTGGTGATGACGTAACCTTCAGGGATGTTTCAGACACAGCATATGACAAACTCTGAAGTAGGTCCAGTGGTCTGGTACTACTTACCACCGGGCAAATATGAATTTTATGTTGCGTTCGAAAGGCAGAGCTACAAAAATGCGTTATGTTAACGTCGCTTTGTCTGTCTGTCCGTCCGTCTATCCTTACGTAATAACTGGAAAACCTTTGAACGAATTTTCATTAAATTGGATGGTTTTACGAAAGTTACAATGCGTTAGCTCTGATATCGCGCGTACACAGCGTCGAGCCAAGTAATGTTTGTTTTTTCTCTTTCGGAAACCGTAAGACCTTTATACAAAGTGTATGGGACACAAGACCCGTGTTTCATGTTTATCTGCAACTTCTGCCCGAAACATGTTTCGCTCCAACAAATATTTTGCTAGTGTGGAAATGCGCGCAGCACCGAATGTAGGTCTTCATGTGAAGTGTCCGTTATTGTCCGATTTTAACGGTACCTGCAAACATGTCATAACTGTCCGGTCTCATATTTCATCGCAGTGCGTTCGGCGATTGTCGAGTTGTTACAGATGGACAGACATGACAACTTTTTGCTCCGAACGCGCTAATCATCGCGATGCGGTCCCACATTTCACGTAAAGTGTGTTCGTCCACTTTCCGAACCGTAGCCCTAACATACGGGCGTGTTAAAGCTGACAGTTGTCGAGTTAGCTCGGCCGATATAGTGACTAGACTGCGGGCTGGACGACCGAGAGGAATCTGGGTTCGTGTCCACGCAAAGACCAAAAGTTCTTCTCATCTCTAGATCGTCCAGACCGACTCTGTCTCTGTTTCCAGGGGGTAAAGCGACAGGAGCGTGAAGCTGACCACTTACCTCTCCATCCAGTGCCGATGTCAAGAATGCGTGGAGTTACACTTACACTTCCCCATACGCTATCATGACGTGGTGCTTAGTAAAGAGCAGAAGCAATAAGTGTGTACCTTAATACGTTACCTCATCAGTGAGGGCCAAGTCTCCCTGAAACAGGCCGGGCGTTACCTCGGGGTCTTGGCCCATCTCGTCAAGGCGTCTGACGTCATCTGCATTCAGTCGAGCTGCAAAAACATAACCGGATTCAGGAACGTAGTACGGTTAATACAGCCTTAGGCTGAGGCCACACGAGCGCACAAAATTCATCCGTTGTAACGAACGTCGTGACGTTTGTTGTAGAAATAAACAAGAGAGGCGAATGCTACGCTTTCTTCTGGCTCCATTGTAGACAAGAAACTACGCACCGCATTCTGCACCTGTGTGGTGTCCTCAGCAACGTCCGTCATAAAGTACGTTCGTTACAACGGACGCATTTTGTGCGCTCGTGTGGCCCAAGCCTAACCGTGTACTGATGAAGAACTGAGCGCTCTCCAAGTAACTAATGAACGTAGAGAAGCTAACAGTCGCTCAGCAGGTCAGGAATTCCCTCCCCTGTATGGAGCCCAAAGGTTCAGGTCGTTGAGATTCGGGATTCCCACACGGCGGTTACACGAAACTTGTAGTCTGACACCAACATTTTCGGAGGAAAATGCAGCGTCCATCTTCAGGATAGAACATTCTTCTACCCCTGAAGAAAAAGGAAGCAAATTTATTCCAAGCGTCAACCAGGCTACACGGTGTTACATCCCAGAAAATTAATAGTCGTTCATAGCCGTGTTGACAAAATCCCGCCACTGGTCCTTACCCCGACTCAAATTAATCCAATGGAANACCCCCCCCCCCGCCCCGTAACCCAAACCTGCTTGCTTATGAACCGTGTTCGTATTATACTTGGGTTTAAACGTGTGTCTTCCAAGCAGTCTTTTCTTTTCAGTCTTCCCGTCAAAAATTTTGTATGCGTTTCTCATGTTTCCCACTCATACCCAGAACATATGTGAGGTTACGTCATCATCAGTTACTGACGTAGGTCATTGCGTCGTCATTACGAAGTAACTAGATTCTATTTTCAACATGCGACAGGGACCAAAATCCCCATACCGGAGATCTCGTTCAACACACAGGGACTTTTCTTCCGTCAGGTTGGCTACTCGAGGCGTGACGCACCCCAGAGGCGGTTTCAGACAGCGTGAGTATGTTACTATCCGGACTAGACATGTCTACTCGTAGAAGTCCAGGTGTCATCTAAAAATGGTGACCCAGGATGAATTTTGAGAACATTTCGAGCTTTAACCATTTTCTGGTGTGCTTCGGGAACTGAATCTGTTTCCATCTTCTTGAGAAACCTCCAGTTATGCAGCTACTCAAGAATTTCCCAGCAATTTATGGAACCCGGACGTTCATTACCGTGATCACAAGAGCCCTCCACTGGTCCCTATCCTGAGTCAGATCAATCCGGTCCATAGCACCCACCTACGTCTTGGTCTTCCTAGTGGCATTCCTCACTCCATTCGTGCTGCATGCCCTGCCCATTTCATCCTTGTCTTGATCATTCTAATTATACATGGAGAAGAGCACAAGTTATGAAGCTCCTCATTATGCAGTCCCCTCCAACCTGTCACTTCATCTCTCTTCGGTCCAAATATTCTCAACGCCCTGTTCTCAAACACCCTCAGTCTGTGTTCCTCCCTTAATATCAGAGACAAAGTTTCACATCCATACAGAAAAACAGGCAGAATTATAGTTTTGTATATTCTGATTTTCCTGTTCTTACACAGCAGACGAGAAGACAAAAGGTTCTGGACTGAATGGTAGCAAGCTTACCCGAGTTCAATCTCCTCTAATTTCGTCCTGAATGATATTTTGATTTGTTTCTGCCGGAGAACACGCAGCATATTCGTACATATCGCAAAGCAGGGCAGGTACTCACACCTCTGCCACCATGGCTCATCTCTTGGGGGGGGGAGGGGGCGATAAAGTTTGTGGGTTGTAGATCAGACTTGAAAACTGTTAACAAAAAAATAGGCCGTTTTCCTTCTTACTTACCCTCTTGGGGAACTGGGGGGTGCAGTACCTCTGGAACATACGGAACATAGCGCGCACTGCCCACGCTTGCCAACATCACACTGATTATCACCGCAAGCATTTTCCCATTTGCTTCTCTGAAAAAAAAATCAAAGACATTATTTCTGTTTATCTGCGTTCCTTTCTAAAGAAGTGAAGTCTCGTGCGATCGTCATGTTGTCCTCCCTCACTTTCAGGTTCTTATTCTATTTTCACGAAATTTGACTTGAACGTTATGACCGCTGTAGCTTAAGTCACTATGCTGACAGGTGTAGCATGTGTAGACTGGGTAACGAAACCACGCTTTACACAGTTTGCAAGATACCAATCATCACGGAGCAGGACACACCGTGCGGTTGTGTGCGTTGCTCTGCAGCGCCACGCGGTGACTGAGGCGCGAGTTCCTGTGGTTGGTAGCCCTGTTCTCGGTCGTGAACCCTCACTGGACGCGGGCATCCGCCTACTTAGTTGCATTTTGATGAATTTCATGCGTGTGACGAAAGCAAAGTAAACTTCCTGGAAGATTTGCTGTGTTTCTCTCTTGACAGATGTTTGCTCATCTTCTGCGTCCCAGTCACAGCCTTGTTCAGTGAAGTTGTCTACTTAATTAAGCACCGTACCATGAAGATGTGTGAGGGAATGGAGGTATAACTTCACACATTCTTACCCCTCAGACACTAGATGGAAGTGAGTGGTCAGTTTCTCCGGCCGCTTTATCCCTGGCATCCACTGGATACGAAGTTGTGTGGGCTGCAGAACCGGTCTGGACGCTGCGGAGAAAGGGAACAGTAGTAACAGCGCGTAGCCTGATCACTGTCTCACCTGAGCTATCCTTGCGCTTGTGGCAGACCGCTTCCATACTTCGTTTTGCTTCATTCTGTCATCGCAAATGTCCCTATCAATCTACCTTTTCTTTCTGCGTTTGTGTTATCCTGGGGGCTGATCCCCCATCCATGGAAGCCTGTGACATTCATATTTCAGAATTAATCCTGGATGGGAACAGGCCAGAAATTCTAACCCGTCAAGGTAGAAAAAGAAGAAGAAGACATTTAACGTATTTTAAAGGCTTAATTTGTCCCGAATACACAGGGTGATTAATAAAGTTAGTCCTAAAAGGCTTAAATGCAGGACTTGGGGCTCTCACAGTGGTTTGGTAGAAGTGCACAGACGTGCCGCGGGAATGTATCGCCTCCATCCCGGCAGGACCCATGTTTACTTTTCCTAACTTGTTCTGTTTGACCTTCCTCCCCGCGTTCAGTGGGTGACGTGTCAGTTGGCAGAACCGGTTTCAGGTGACCGTAGATGGGAAACAGCCACGGGTTCACGGACCGCGTCTGGCCCACGACAGATTTGTCTTCAGTATGAAGATGAACACGTTGAGGGCCTGTAAGAAGCCCCTATACTTAAATAAGCACCACATCATCAGGATGTATGAAGGAGTGAAGGTATAGCTCCACATATTCTTAACCTCGGCACTAGCTGGAAGTGAGTGGTCAGCTTCACGCCCCGGCCGCTTTACCTCTGCGAAAAGAGCCCCGGTGCCAATTGGATAGGAGGCTGAGCGGACCCCAGTGCCCGTCTGGACGCTGTGAGGAAGGGAACTGTACTTTGCCCCTGCATGAAGTCTTACCGCGATGCCCTTGGTCATGGCGTGGTGAAGTGTCGAAGTGACACATGTGCCCTTGTTACACAGATCTGACGTGCAGGGGTTGTTGCCGTTATTTGCGTCTGCGCACTTATTTATATAGCGACGGGCTGCCGCCTGAGCGTCCGGGGTTCTATTTCCGGCAGTGGCAATACTTTCCCTCTGTTCTACAGCGTCCAGACCGGATCTAGGGCCCACCCAGACTCATATACAATGGGCACCGGGGGTAAAGCGCCCAGGGCGTGAAGCTAGTTCCGAGGTCAAGAATGGTGGAGCCATATCGTCATTCCTCCATACGTCCTCAAGGACAACCTTACCTTACGTCAGTATGTGTAGGTGTTTCCAACTGCACTGAGACATCTCATTCTGCAGGTCGAGGTCTCATACTGTTCGTAGCATTTCAAACAAAAGCTGGGAACCTGGACTGGATATGCGTAGCACCGTCGTGAAGTTTTGTGTTTCTGATTTCGATACGTACGGTTTTATGATATCGTATAAACCGTTAAGAGCACATTCATAACTGCACGTCAGAACTTGCTTTCTTAACCACACAGTGTGCTTGTGTGTGTCTACACATGCTCTAGGACAGTCCAGCACCACAATATAATTTAATTTTTTCAATTGACCTAACCCTTCCAGCAACATTATGGCCCTGGGTTCGACCCAAACTCTATCAGAGATGAGTACCAGGAATCTTCCTAGGGGTAAAGGGCGGCCGGCGCGTAAGGCTGACAACCTCAACGGCATCTGTGAGCCGACTGTCTAGAAAATGTGGGAACGTCGACGTCTCACAACCCTATGGGCCTCCAGGGACTGCTTTACTTTTTGTATACAGGCTTCAAAGAGGACGCCAAAATATTACAGAAGATGGCGACTTTGCTTTATTTTACAAAGTTCCTCATTACAGTTGTAGCATCCTGGGGCTATCAGAGGCCCATGAATTTGCACAGCGTGTAGTATTTTCTCCTGTGATACGTGCTCTTGTCCAGACAGCCGTACAGCGCGTTTATCTTCAGGCAGTCCGTCTTGCTCATTTCCCTCCTTTGTCCAAGCCTCACGCCTTTCTTCTTCGGCGTGATGGTGGGTCGGTCCTTCTCCTTGCTGAAACACAGTGACCGCAGCGCTACTCAGAATTACTGGCTCCATTCTAAACAACACGACGTTTCGGAAACTGGATCTGTTTCCATCCTCAGGTGAGGGGGAAGACACCTACTCTGTTGGGTCCCTAAGAAAGAGCTAACCTCAATCACTGGACCGTTTAGAATCTAATTGCAATACTAGTTCTGTGATTAGCTTAGGCCAGGACTAAGTTGGTGCTCTGCTCAGATAGTCACAGAAAGACCAACCTCTCTCGTCTAATAGGAGGCCCCATGGGGCCTGAAACAAAGAATGACTGTGCTGGCGAAGACCAGCAGCAAATTATTGCTCTGCTCTCAGACCGTGTAGCTGTGTTATGCTAGAATGGCCGTGAATAATGAACGGGAAGGGATATGGCGCGGACAACATAGAAAACACTTCTTTCAATACGTTTTCTCTTGTTGAGTGCGCGTATTTCGGGCGTTGCCTAGAAATGGATCTACATGTCACAGTATCTTGGATAAATTAAAGCTGTTTCCTTTATAGCATTTTCATTTTAATTCCGTAGTAACCGAACCGCGACAAATACTCGGAGCGTAGACACACAACACAACAGGAAGAGACGCCCAGCACCGAGCAATTCAGGGACTACACACCGAATATTAGACTCACAAAACGGAAGCACAGCAGTTCCCAGCAACAGATTTTAAACCCCTGATGATGACCAATGTCGGTCGAAACATGTAGTGCAGTGTATAGAAGCTTTTAAATGAGGCTGAAATGACGGGCTGTGTTTGTAAGAAACTTCTGAGTAAGGTTTAGGAGGGGCCGCGCCATAGCTCAAGCGGTTAGTCGCTGGCTTCCCACCGCGGCGGCCCGGGTTCGATCCCAGGTCTGATCAAGTGAGATTTCTGGTGGACAAAGTAGCGCTGGGGCCGGTCACGGTAGCCGAGCGGTCTAAGGCGTGTACTGTCTTCGCTCGCTTGGAAACCGGAATCGTGGGTTCGAATCCTACCCAGCGCACGGATGTTTAGTTTGAGTGCAGGCAGAGGCCTTGCGACGAGCTGATCACCCGCCCAAGGAGTCCTACCGAATGTCTAAGATCTAGTAAACCGAAGTGAAGCGGAGAGTTTCATGGAGGTAGGCCTAGGCCCACTGGGGCTGTAGTGCCAAGGGGAAAAAAAGTGGCACTGGGGCAGGTTTCTCCGAGTATTTCGGTTTCCCCTGCCAATCTTCATTCCACCAATTGCTCCACAATCACCCTCACCTATCATCTGGGGCTGGTACAATAGGCCAGTTATATCTGACAGATTTAACCCTTATGGAGGGTTTGGTTATTGTTGACGCTGAAACGCTCACTTTTGAATAGGGAGTAGATTCTAATATATGCTCTGAAGGCCTTGACTTCAATCATTTTGGGTGCAGTCTCCACGTAATCCTCTTAGCGAATATTACACCGAGATATAATACTTGATTGGCGAAGGGGATATTCCGTTCATGAAGTGTACGATGAGCCTCAGGGAGTCTAATTCTATGAGAAAAATAGACGGTCCCATGAGAACTCTTTGCGTTGTTTGTTTACTTACCGCCAATCTGTCTCTAACTTCTGTCACCACCATACAGTGGTCACTATTACAATCAGCTGCCCTGAACATCTCCTATATATCAGAATATGGTAAATTTGGCTGTGCGTCTTTCCATCAGGAGATGTCCAAGTAAATTTATAAATGTTGCCATGTGGAGACATAATTCGACAGTAACATTTGTTATGTGGCAAAGTTTACTACTCTCCATTATTATTACTGATTTCGTGCAAACTCTCACGTCCAGTTGCTGGTTTGAAAATGTCCTCCCTGCCTACTTTGGCATTGAGATCTCCTAAAAATAATTTCAAATGGTGTTAGGGGATTCTTCGAATACATGTTCCAGTTCTTCGTAAAACCTGACCTTCATATCATCAGTTTTATCTTCTGTTGGGGCTTGAACATTCTGAACGATGATATCACACCAGCGACCTCTTAGTATTACTCGTATGTATGACATCCTATCACTAAAAACTCTACGCTCTTAACTGCTGATATGATTTTCTTACGTTCGACAAAAAAATACTACCTAATTCATGATGCTCATTCCACTTTCCACAGAAAGACGTACATTCGCATGCTAGTTCAGTGCCACCTTCGTCCCATCTCAACTGATGTAAAAGTAAAAAGTAAAGTAAAGCTATCCCTGTACCAGGCCATGAAGGCCCATAAGGTTGAGAGACGTTGAGGGTCCCACATTATCTAGACAATCGGCTCAAAGATGGCGGTAAGGTTGTCAGCCTTACGCGCCGACCGCGCTTTACTCCCCAGGAAATTTATTTTAATTAATTCCTGGTACTCATTTCTCTTAGAGGCTGAGTAAACCCCAGGGCCTAGTGCGGCTGGAAGGATTAGATCAGTTGGAAAAAAAAAACCCATGACCTCCTCGGGACTTGAACTCGCGACCTTGCGGTTTGTAATACAGCTCCTCAACCACTACTCTACTGCGCGTTCATGTGAAGTAGTATATTTCCTCTAAACTTAACTTATATTTAGAGATCTCTTCCGCCATTAGCCTGAGCTAACCTGACCTGTACATACTTTCAATATTTCAAGTGCCAAATCTCATATCCATTTTATTCGCAGCTACCCTCCATATCTGGAGGCCGTCTCCTCCATCCGCAACCTGATGATGCGCCATGCCGTGGTGACAGGGACCCACCTAACCTGGTCTTCACATATTTATTGTATAATTCCAGCACATTCAGTCTCATTTCCTCCTCATGAGCAAACATCTACCACCCGTAGAAAGGGAATCAGGTGTGCTGATCGCAAGAATAAAACTTGGTGCTGCGTTGGACGCAGAGTGTGTTCCCATGATCCCTTCTTGCAGTTGAGTCTTCCTTGCGGAGTTGGTGACCCGGTTAATTTGCACCGAAGCTTGTGATCTGGTGAGTTTAGTCACATTCCTGTGCAGAGTGTAAGTGCCACTCGGTTATGTACTCCGAGATTTGGTGAAAATAGAGAATCAAACGCTGATTTGTAATAACCAAGGAATGACTAAATAACCTGTGTACAACGGTGTTATAGTGGTGTATCAGTTGTATACTCCAGTCTAAGAGAGGCCTGTGAAGACCTCGAGAAAGGTTCTCATGCTCCTGTGTACAACGGTGTTATAGTGGTGTATCAGTTGTATACTCCAGTCTAAGAGAGGCCTGTGAAGACCTCGAGAAAGGTTCTCATGCTCCTGTGTACAACGGTGTTATAGTGGTGTATCAGTTGTATACTCCAGTCTAAGAGAGGCCTGTGAAGACCTCGAGAAAGGTTCTCATGCTCCTGTGTACAACGGTGTTATAGTGGTGTATCAGTTGTATACTCCAGTCTAAGAGAGGCCTGTGAAGACCTCGAGAAAGGTTCTCATGCTCCTGTGTACAACGGTGTTATAGTGGTGTATCAGTTGTATACTCCAGTCTAAGAGAGGCCTGTGAAGACCTCGAGAAAGGTTCTCATGCTCCTGTGTACAACGGTGTTATAGTGGTGTATCAGTTGTATACTCCAGTCTAAGAGAGGCCTGTGAAGACCTCGAGAAAGGTTCTCATGCTCCTGTGTACAACGGTGTTATAGTGGTGTATCAGTTGTATACTCCAGTCTAAGAGAGGCCTGTGAAGACCTCGAGAAAGGTTCTCATGCTCCTGTGTACAACGGTGTTATAGTGGTGTATCAGTTGTATACTCCAGTCTAAGAGAGGCCTGTGAAGACCTCGAGAAAGGTTCTCATGCTCCTGTGTACAACGGTGTTATAGTGGTGTATCAGTTGTATACTCCAGTCTAAGAGAGGCCTGTGAAGACCTCGAGAAAGGTTCTCATGCACCTGTGTACAACGGTGTTATAGTGGTGTATCAGTTGTATACTCCAGTCTAAGAGAGTCCTGTGAAGACCTCGAGAAAGGTTCTCATGCTCCAAAAAAAAATCTTAAAGGTTGATAGGACATTATTAACCTAGTGCCCGGTTACCAAGTGAGGACGGCGTAGGCCTGCCCGGTGAGCAGCAGAGTGCGGCGTGATAGTATAAGCGCAAAGGGGAAGCAGCTGAACGAGTCGACACGAAGCGACACCGAGCAGAGCCGAAGTGGTGCCCGGTTACCCAGTGAGGACGGCGTAGGCCTGCCCGGTGAGCAGCAGAGTGCGGCGTGAGAGTAAAACCGCAAAGGGGAAGCAGCTGACCGAGTCGACACGAAGCGACACCGAGCAGAGCCACAGTGGGAGACCAGAAACGACGGCTGCAGTATGGCGCCCAACGTAGAAATTTTTTCGATCAGTTAGTATACGTTGTTTAAAGTGAGTTGCGAAACCTGCAATCCTTATGCTGAATGGGAGTTGAGAAAGATTGCTGTACAGAGCTGGTATACCAGTAAGGCAGTAAAGTTATTGGGTGCGCCAGTAGAGAGAGGTAGTGTTCCAGGAATCAAGGGGCGCCCTGAAGATAAACTAATATCATACCACCATTTGCTACGAGTGTTATTATACAGAATATTGCTTTTAATACGTTGTGACTAATTTGTAATTTGGATCATTTGTGACGAAAAAAAAAATTTCGAGTTTAAATTTTAAGGATTATTGTAGTTTGTTATGGAGATTATTATTACGAGGCGACCAAATGAGTTTTTCTTTTATATTTTATATATATATATAATAAGTAAAAGCTCAATTGGAAGATTGTGGCCGTTTTGTTTGTCACCTTAAAGCAATAATTGTATTGGATTTGTAAAGCATGGCCCATAAGCCTAAGTTGCATTCAAAAGGCTGTCTTCGACCGCGTGAATTGAGATGTTTGCAAATTCCGGGGTTGACAGAGACAGAAGATGTCTCGCGATCATGAGTGTTGAGAATTAAGCCAATGGTGGCGTTCGCGCTTCTTTTTAATTTGAAGTTTTGGCGGCGAACAATTTTATTGATTCAAAATTAACGTAAGGATTTAGAGTGACCAATTGTGGTTTATTAAGAAGATAATACTGCCATGTACTGGCCAAAAGAACGGGAAGTGAAGTGTCTGACCTGAAGTAGTACTGGCCGTAGTGCATGATGCTGCCATAGTCGTACTCGAAACTGTACGTGGTGTTCTCCAGGCTCTCCTTATTGAAGTTCACTTGAAACTCTGAAAATCAGAATCGGGTGCGTTCAGGACGATAAATTAACCCTTTAAAGACTGAAAGTCAAAGTCAAAATTATGTTACGACCGATGGTCAGTCGGCCAGTCTGTCTTTGTGTCAAGCCCCCCTCTGGGGTCCAAGACCAGATTTTTATTACTGTCAGACAGTTTTGGATTTGTTCATGTGGGAATGGGTCTGCCATTTACAATTGCCGCTGTCCCTCACCAGCGCAGTAATTCTCGGTTCCGAGTCCAAAGGGAATTATGGCCATATTTTACTGTCTCAGATTCGAGACTCCCCCAGACTGGAGGGCCAGGTCCCCGTGTTTATATCCCACAGGAACAGGGTGGCCTGGTTATACCCCCAGGCACTACGTTCCCTTTTCATCGCTTCATACGACTCCCACGGCTACTGTGGGGGTATTCGAACCCACCTTCAGACTGAGTGAGAGTCAGAGTTACTTTACAACTGGCGGCTTACCGCCTAACATTTTGTCTTGGCTGCAAGCCCCTTGAGACTCACGACCAGCAATTTATTTTCCAACTGAACACTTGCTGTCGTAGTTCTTGTGTAACATTCTCTCTGACGAGAGGATGGCTTGTCTCGCTTCGCCTCTAACGCACATACGGCACAGGTCTACACGGTCATGTGGAATTCCTTTCTTCCCGGGAAGCGGCCAGTCCGACGCACCAAGAATATCAGTGGCCCTTACCTGGTATGATGTTCTCAGGGTGGATGTCCACGAAATTGTCCCTGTCGGCCCTGGACTGCTCGTGGAAAATGCCCAGTGCGTGCAGCAGCTCATGGATGGAGCGACCCTCGTCCCCGAGACAGTTAGGGCCTTGTTCATCCGGTGGCTGCAGGGACACGATCTGAGGACCTCCGAACCTCCCCACGTACGACCAGCACCTGAGTCGAAGCGAACGAACTTGTAACTCAGTGCCAGTAAGTTCAGTAACTTCATCATTCAATTTGTTACTAGCCACCTGTCGGTATAGCGACGGGCTCGATGGCCAGAGTTCGGTTCTCGGCAAGGGTCAGAGGTTTTTCTCTTTTCCACAGCGTCCAGACCGGCTCTAGGGCCCACTCAGCCTCCTATACAATGGATACCGGCGGCTCTTTCCCTGGGGGTAAAGCGGCAGAGGCGTGAAACTGACAACTAACCTCTATCTAGTGCCGAGGCCAGCCATGGTCGATCTATACATCCATTCCCCCATACGTCGTCATGGCGTGGTGCTTAATTACTTAAGCACAGGGACAATTTTGCCTTTGCATTGCCCTACCTAGTGACCTTCGTTTTATTGTAATTTGCCGTAAAATTATAAATTTCCGCGCAGTCAGTTATATAGCAATTCAGTCCGTACCTCACAGGAAACACATTACGTCTCCACTACAAAGCCCAACCGGTTAATGCTATTTCGGGAAACAGTCGCTGTTTATTGTGAGAACCATACGGAACACACAGATACAATGTGTGAGCAGAATATATAGCAATTCGGTTCGTACCTCACAGGAAACACACTCCGTCTCCACTACAAAGCCCAACCGGTTAATGCTGTTTAGGGAAACAGTCGCTGTTTATTGTGAGAACCATACGGAACACACAGATACACTGTGTGAGCAGAATATATAGCAATTCTGTTCGTACCTCACAGGAAACACACTCCGTCTCCACTACAAAGCCCAACCGGTTAATGCTGTTTAGGGAAACAGTCGCTGTTTAGTGTGAGAACCATACGGAACATATACCAAATGTGAACTTTATTCATGTTAAATAAGGTGGCAATTCTGTTCCCTAGTGTTGAGTTTGTCTGATCCTGGTGCAGCACCTGCTCTTACCCGTGAGGGTACTTGACCGGCCAGATGAGTAGGAAGTCGTCGGCTTTGCCGTCCCACGGCACGAACTTGATGCACGTCAGGAAGTTGAGTGTCAGTATGGCGTTGTAGATCGTGACGTATTCGGATGTATCTGCGAACAAACATCGTCTGTACACGAGGGGAAAGTCACACATGGATATAAAACGTAAAACATGTCTTATTCGAACCTGGAAAGAAAAATCTATTTCTCGACATATTCTCCACCAACAGTGATACACTTGTCCCATCGCTTTACCGGTGCGTCGAAACCCGCAGAATAGAAATCTTTTGACTGTTGTCTCAGCCACTAGGGCACATCCATTTGAACCTCTTCATCATCAGCGAAACTTTGCCACCAAAGTGGCTGGCTTTTTAGCGGACCAAACAGATAAAAGTCACTAGTTCCCACCGTAAACAAGAAATATTTCTTTATGAATATCCTTTGCATTAAGTTTTTTTGCCCACAAACAAACTCCACAACAGAACGTTGCTCTTCGGTAGTATACACCTCAAGCACGATTGCCATTTTGGCTACTGACACCAGCCTCTTAACATGCGCATGCGCGTCTGATACCCAGACTAGCATGAAGCTGGACTGTGCTGCTACCTAGTGATACATATAGAAAACCTATTACATCCATTACAGCTGTTTTACTTCCATTTGTGGCCTATTTACTGACTGTCGTTTCCATGGAAGCAAAATGTAAAACTAATCTAATTACGATAGAACAAGAAGATGGCATTATTAAACGTCAGTGTTTCAGTCGGTATTACAGTCTTGATCTTTGCCGAAAGAAGATACACCAGGACTACTTTTACTATGCTAATTCTATGACATTGCCTTTCCAGAACTGTTTAAGCTCACAGCGCGCATATTCAGTGGCTAAAAACTGGAATACAGGGTAAATTTTCTAAATGTACCCTTTTGTTTTTATTGGCTGCTTCATGCTCGTTTGCCTTACTCTTCAAATCTGAAGATGTTCCTCCGAAACGTCGGTTGACTTTCGCCGTACTACACGGCATTATATCCCTGAAGACAGAGCTCAATTTAAGAACCGCTGTGAGAACCCCATATCCTATACAATGATTATGTCGCGTGGAGTGTTACATTGGTCGTGGCCTGTTTCAAAGAACTATAGACCGTTTGGATGAACTGAGGACACCATAGTCATATAGCCGGTACTAAAACGGCTGGTAAGCCTCACGCTCGGGCCGCTTTATTCCGGGAATCGAACGTCGCTGTTGAGTGATTGGCACTCCCGCTTTGTATTCAGGAGGTCCAGGGTTCATATCTCGCCCCAGAGACTGTCTGCCCTAATGGTTACTCTGTCCCTTCAGGTAATTTCTGGAATAATATGACTCAAATGAGGCCAGGGACCCCTCCTTCCAGATCCTTTCCAATTCATGATTCAGTAGCCATCCTACCTTTCGGTGGAACAGAGCTGCATACTGACAGCAACGTCACATTTGCCGTAAATAAATAAATAAATAAATAAAAGGTATGGTGTTTAGGCTACGGGCTGGATGACCGAGGAATCGGAGTTCGATTTCCACAGGAGTAAGAGATACGAGATTCTTTTCTTGTCCATAGCGTCTTGACGGAAGCTGATCACACCTCCATCTAGTGCCAAGGTTAGAAACGATGGAGCTACATCTCCACTCTCCCACACGTCTTCATGGTGTCGCGTTTAATTAACTAAGCACAGGGACGAGTAACTGACAACTGCTGACACAGCCCGGACGTTACGTTGGCATCTGACCCACCGTAGAGGGGACTGATGACGTAATGCACAGTGCTGTTCTGCCACATCCGTTCCGGCATGACGTCCCATCGGAGTCCCACTCGCCAGAAGTCGTACATCTCGTTGGTGAGCGCCATGTCCCCCTGGAACAGTCCGGGCTGCACCTCAGGGTCTTGGTTAGTCTCTAGGAGGAGTCTCAGGTGCTCCGAACTCAGTCGAGCTGCAGGCAAAAAGAACGTTAGCAAAGCAGCCGCGTTTTCAGTGGGACCTGAAGCCATATCAGCCGGTATTGTTGACAAAGCCTGTTTACCGCGCCCTTGCTTAGCAATAAACGTTCTATTGTTGCGGGTATGTGTTTACCGACCCGTTGGCCAACAGTGGGTATACACGTTACAATAATAACAATAATAATCTAACAGTCCGAGAGCTGAGAAATCCTTCGTGAGGTTTTATGTCCTCACGGCGGTAACCATGAAGATTACTGTTGTGTGGTAGATGAGTGTAAACGTTTCGGAGGCACCTGCAGCCTCAGACAGTAATCATTATGATGGACTTGGTGCTCGAGAGGGTTAACAACATGCGTACGCCTTCATGACCCTTACTTACCGTCGTCCGGCACCGGAGGAAACACCACATCGGGCACGTGGGGCAGCTTCCGGGGCGCCATGAGGGCAGCTCGCAACGTCACCAGCAGCAGCAGCGCTGTCTTCATTCTGTCTGATTATGGGCACGAAGCTGTGCGAACTTCTGTGCTGTTAAGAACTGTCTTCTGGGATTAACGCCGTGTATTCTCCAGAAAGTCGACTGACGTTTCCCAACGTACTCAGGTACAAATCACTTTCTTGCATCCACGCTGATCAACCTGCAGTCCTGATCGCTGTAATCACTTGTAGTGCTGCGCACGCGTAGTCTGGAAGTGACCTGACGGGCAGCGCGAACCTTCTTCTTGTTTGTTTCTGTCCAATGCCAAGATCAAGTGTCTCAAGCAATGCAGCCACTTTTGTGCTGTTCGAAGTTGGTTACAGCTGTAGTGAAGCCACGGAAAGAAGGCCCATGGAAGGGGGGGCAGCTTTCGATACTTCCGCCTCCCTACTCTTACTTTGTGGATTATTTTACGACACTGTCAGCACCAAAATTACATAGCGTCCGGTGTTAGTGTGACTGATGAATCATAAATTGGAAAGTATTTGCAAAGCGTTAGTCGTATACCAATCTGTTACTATCCCAGAATTCGCCTGATGGGACTGTGGAAAACCACGAAAATAGTCAGAATAGCCGATGAGTCGACTGACATTCGAACCGAGAAGCCCCCGAATACAAGCCTAGAGCATTACCGCTATTCCAACGCGCTCGGCGTCGCTTGTATTCCCATCCAGCCTTCTCTGGCCTATGTCAACCAGCCCAAAGCCAATGTCGCTAAGACCGGCATATGTGGAGTGACTGGAGAGGACGTACGCTGGGAGAGGGAAGGCATAACAGGTCAAGGGAGATATGGAGGGTTTCGGTTAGTGCGACTGCACTCTGTAGCCTCGGTATAAAGGTGATGTTTTATGCCCAGTGCTTTTTAATTTTGCTTTAAAATGTAAGAGGACAGTTGGTCTGTAACAGATTGAGATGTTCTGAAACAGACTTCAGTGCTGTAGTAACAGAAACGCGTGAGGAATGCTTCTCCGAGTATCGCGGGCATCCGAGATTAATTTTTGTAATCGAATCATCCACTTCTACGACTGCATCTGTGGTCTAGTGGCCAGAGTTCCTGGCTACAGATCCAAAGGTCCGGGTTCGATTCTCGGCGCTACCAGATATTCTGAGAAGTAGTGGTTCTGGAACGGGGTCCACTTAGCCTCGTGTGGATAATTGAGGAGCTGTTTCAAGGAAATAGCGGCTCCGGTCTAGAAAACCGAAACTAACGACCATGGGGATTCGTTACGCTCACCACGCGACACCCTCTATCCGCTAAAGTTGGCACCAACTTCTCCGACAAGCGGCAGTCGCTCAGTCGGTATAGTTCGCTTTCGGACTACGGGACACGGAGTGTTTTTCCTATCATCCATTTCAAAGGGACGCCTTTTTCTCAACATTTCTCCTGGAGTTGCAAAATTCTTGGAAAACGTAGAATTTTCAAGTTCGCCCCTCCCCTTTATTGTCCCATGGAACGTCAAAATGAAAGAGAACTGTGCAGTGTCGGTTCAGGAACATGCCCTTTTATCATTTCAGCCCTTCCATAAAATCCCTACCCGTGAAACCTGTAACGTGGTACTCTCCCGTCGTTGTCCTGCAGGTTCTGTGGAAACCAACGAAATTATTGGGATATTCTGTATCCGCCCGAGATTCTAAGCAAGCGTGTCTGGAATATAAGCCCGAAGCAATGGGCTTCAATATATTCTTTGTTACGTCAGCAGTCGAATGCAGTGCGTTCTGTGTGTCTTGCCGTTCGGTGCAGTCGTGGGGGCCCTCGTCACTAACAGCATGTTCAGCTTACAGTTCCCACGCCCCCTTATTTCTTATAATAATTAAAAATACGAGCGGTCTTTTAATGATTTTAGAGAAGAAATTGTCTCAGTAACATCTGTGGATTCTGTTTCTCTTTTGTGGAGGCTCGGGCCCACTGCCCCATAAATCCGTCCCTGATTCGATGGAATGTATCTTTCTTTACCCCACTGTGCACTCCCGGTGCATGTGAAGGTCATGTAGCCAACAGTGACTTGACGTTTTCCTCTTTGCATCACGGACTAGACGCACATAAAGTGATACTGATTGGGACATCTTCATTCCTCGGTTCATAAATGTTCGTGTAATATGCCGGGGTTCGATTCCCGGCAGGGGCAAGAAGATTTCCTCTTCTGTACAGCGTCCAGACCGGCCCTGGGACCCACGCAGCCTCATATCCGCTGGGTACCTGAGGCGCCCGGAGCAAACGGCCGGGTCTTGAAGCTGGCGACTCACTTCCGTCTACTGCTGAGGCTGAGAAAACGTAGAGCTATACCTCTACTCCCCCTCACGTCTCCACGTCGCGGTGCTGAATTAAGCATACGGATAAATGTAATTTTCCCTGCAGATGGAGGCCGCAGCTTATTCCGAAACATTGATACCTATCTACCTGACTTCATGGCGTTGCATTCCAGAAGACAGCAATATCGAGTTGGATTCGTCTGGCTCAGGGTCAGGTGTAGTGACGGGTTCATTAGAACCTTCAGGTCCCATAGAAGGTGCAGACCCTCTGAGTGACAGGATATGTTGGCCCCAGTATATTCAGGGTCACTGCACCCGACGTGGCTGTAGTCTGCGGTGTATATATACAGGTGTCCCAGGAGGAATGGTCCAGCAGAAATAATACAAATGATGATAATGAAAATGTTCGCAACATTGAACAAGTGACGACACTGACGTTGTAGGGCCGAGAGGTTCATTGAGTCAGTTGAAGGTTGCAGCTCAGTTGAGCTCGGCAAGGGAAATTGAGAAGAGAAGGCAACGAGATAGTTGTTAGTTGGGTTTTAGGGAATTGACAACAGTTCTGCACAAGTGGCTGTGACAAGAGGACCTGAACTCGGTAAGTTAGAAGCCGTTGCCAGGAAACGCCTGATGAAGACACAGCAGGCTGGAAAAGGCTTAGCGGATGCTGTGGCGATTTGTAATGTGTGGAGGTTAGCAATAGCGCTATAATTACGTGTAATTGCGAGTGGTGTGTATAAGTGGTGAATAAATCTAATATCCGATCCATACCCCGTCTATAGTCACACACCTAAACACGTGACAGTATATAGCATTGAATGGTAGGATAATAAGTGATTTGGAAGGAAGTGGCCATGGCTTGCTCGAGGTACTATCCGGTAATTTGCCTGGAGAGACTGCGGAACACAACGAGAAACAGGACTGGACAGGCGTCAGCGGTCTTCAGGCCGATTGCTGAAGTGTGCCGACTCTATGCAAATCTCTGCGTCAGCGTCGCTCTGTTATCAGTGGTGTTTGCAGCTATCTACACTGGTATTAATAACAAAATAATTTCCTTGTTGCGCATGGGGCATCGCATGACGACAGCCATGCATCAGCCTGTGAGTGCAGAGAGAGTTCGCGAATTGAGTGCAGGGAAGGGTCAGGTACTCAGGTGTGTCACAGGTTAGCTAAGTTGCATTTAAGTATCAGATTGTTCTCACTTCCGTGACTTTGTTATGTGATGCGATATATCATAATACTATAGAAGTTTCGTAGGAACGTACTGCTTCCAGTTTCACGGTCGAAAAGTGGGGAAAAGAAGCAGCAAGCCGGAAACTAATCCCAGAACAGCTCGCAGGAAAATTGTTCTGAAGGTAAGGTAAGGTGAAGTTGTCCCTGTGCTTAATTAAGCACTACGCCATGAAGGGGCATGGGGGAATGGATGTATAGATCCACATTTTCTTGGCCTCGGCACTAGCTGGAGATGAATGGTCAGCTTCACGCTCCTGCCGCTTTACTCCCGGGGAAATAGCCCCCGGTACCGATTGGATAGGAGACTGGGTGGCCCGCAGAGCCGGTCTGGACGACGTGGAGGAGTGAAAATTGTTACCCCCACCGGAACTTGAATTCCGACCCCTCAGTCGTCCAGCCTGTAGCCAGTCGATATACTGGCTCCCCCCGCGGCAATAATTATGCACGCAGAATGGAAGACCTGTTGGAAGCGGTGTTGTAAGTTGTAGCCACGAGTTGTGGAAGTTCAGTAGATTTAGTAAGCAATCCAAACCCATCACCAAATAACCTAATCCGTGAAGATATTTTTAATTGTTTGTTTTATTTAAAGGAGTGCAGATATATGTATTTCTTACCAGCAGAAACAGAAATGTGTTCATATGCTGTATGCGGCAATGGATAAACAAAAAAATTAATTTCACCACATTAGATATTTTGTGAACCTTTCTTTACCCAGAATGAGTTGTCCTTCAATGGATATAATTATGGATGCTTTAAGCTTGCAGAATGGCAGTTATATTGGCAGTTTGGAATGTGGTAATGATTTGGACAATTAAGATTTATGCAATGAAATTTTACATGTAGGAGTTGGTGGCGGTCTCAGGTTCGCCAACATAAATCAATATATTTCGACTCTGTTCAGGTACTGCCAATGTTGTAGGTTATAATTGAAGACTATGGAACATTTTTTGGGGGGCAAGACACGGGTCAGAGGAAGAGAATGTGATATCGTGAATATGATTCGTCTGTTTTATAATGAATGGCGTGTTAACTTAGGCCGATAGTGTGTTATTGTGATGTCGGCATGAATTTTTTTCATCCATATAATACTGCCAAGTTTATTTTAAAACTAAGTATGTTAGTTTCTTTTTATATCCTACATCGATACCAGGCAGGTCTGTATTTGCTAAGTTTCCAAACTTTGAATAGGTTATTGCCATAATCAATGTGTAATTTATTATGTTCTTGATCGAACGCGCTTTGTTTATAGGGTAGCATTGTTATGGTTGGGTTTGACCCAGAAGCAAAGAAGAAATTAAGCAAAGGAGAGCATGGCATGGCAGGAGCAATTAGCGGTGGTCTTACAAGATTTCTTTGTCAACCTTTTGACGTTATCAAGATTAGATTCCAGGTAAGTCTGAAGTTAGAAGAATTTCACTCTCGAAACATTGGTAATGATCTACCAGACTACACAGTGACACACACAAACTGACAGCTCATATTTTTACATTTATCTGTATACTCGTGGTGTGTGAGCCATGCTTATTTGGTAGCTTCAGGTTGAGCCACTTAGCCATGCGTGCAGAGAAGCAAAGTATTGGAGTGTGTCCCAGGCAGCACATCGTATTGTGAAGGAGGAGGGTTTTTCAGCTCTATGGAAGGGGCATGTCCCTGCTCAGGTGCTGTCTATTGTGTATGGGGTTGTACAGGTAAAGTGCATTTGGAATCCCCAGTTTAAAGATAGCCTCCAGTGTCGTGACTAGGCTGAGCAGCCATGGCTTGAAGCTGACCTCTCGCCTCCATCTAGTGGCAAGGTTAGGAGTACCTCCACTCCTCCACGTGTCTTCCTGGTGCTTAATTAAGCAAGGGGAGTGCTTTGCATGTTCATTACCTGTTCTGTTTGTAGATATTTGTAAGCATGTACAAGAATGACTGTTTTTGTTCTGAGATGAGAATTTGGAAGAGTTTTGTGAACGCAGACAAGAATGAGGATTTTGTTTAGTGGACAGACTTTTTCAGTGACAAAATTTCATAAATCATGATTTTAAAAAATTCCATTCTGGTGCCATGTCCTTCCTGCAGAAAGTCCGGAGTGGTGAACTCTTGGCCTTGTTTTGCAAGTAAATTTGTATAGGTGGGAGCCCTGGTATGACAGACAGCATGCCTGGAAAGTTAAGCTGCTTGGGTCGCCTGTTTGTATGTGATTTCTGAGGCCGGATTTGTTGAAAAGTTGGTTCGTGGCAGTGCTGCCAACCTTTATGAGTGTGCTGAATCAGATTGTTTCTGTCCCACTACGCAAAACAAAAGCATTTGTTAGCAACCCCCCCTCTGAAAAATCAGCATTTGTAGCACGATTGAGATTTTTATTCTCTGGTGGGCAAATTTGAGACTGAAGCGTGCCTAGAAACCGGGGCTCTCCATAAGAGTATTAATGCTTACCACATTATACAGGGCGTTAAATCAAGGAGGAAACTTCACAACACCGCTGACCAGGCCCAATATTCCTCACAGATTGCTGCTGTAACTGTAATTGTAACAGCGAGCGTTTATGAGCACTAATGACTCATTCTGCTATAAGCAGTTACAGTAGCAATCTGTGAGGAATGTTGGGCCGGGTCAGCAGTGTTGCAACGTTTTGCTCCCTAACTGAGCGCCCTGTATTTTGTATGTCTTTATTCCAGTTTGCATCATTTGAAGTCCTTACACAGCAGACCTGGTATCTGTTGCCACATTTCCGTGGAGATGTTTATCGTCCTGCAGTTCACTTTGTGTGTGGTGGCATAGCAGGGACTTTGGCAACAGTGTTCTCCTTCCCATCAGATGTTGTTCGCACTCGCCTTGTGGCACAAGGTGATCAAAAAGTAGGTGATTGGTGTAAAACAGAGGATTGATTGGTAATTGTTGAGACATCATAGTAGATTAATGTTTGTCTCTTATTGTGGATTGTTCGTGTTTAGGTGTACAGGAGTATTCCCAAAGCCTTGACCACGATTTACACTGCCGAAGGACCAAGAGCATTTTTTAAGGGGCTGAGTCCCACCCTCATACAGATAGCGCCACATACTGGCGCCCAATTTGCATGCTACAGTATTCTGACAACTGTCTGGAAAGATCTAGGTAAGTGCAGCACAGTCTAGTCTATTTTAATGCCCTGTATTTCGATAGGAGTCTGCTGATGTCCTCAAGGAATGTATCACCTCCATCTAGAAGGTTAAAGAGTAGGCCTGGCAAGGCCAAGGTGTCAGGTGGAAGCAAGATAGTAGAATTCATGCAGTAATTGTTATCTGTGACTGCTGTAGCTGATCACGTTGTGACTGAAAGAACTGTTTGGTAGTTAACCGGACGGTGGCCATTTTGATGCTCTTTTTACCAGTTGAAAGCAAGAGCTTAGGTATTTTTAACAAAGTTTATTTTTATTATTAGCATGATTGAGTCAAGGAGGGTGAGAGGACAGGGCATATAGCACGCATGGGAGTTCGTTCAGAGTTTTGGTAGAAAGCCCAAAGGAGGCAGACTACCAGGAAGACTTAAGACATTAAGTACATGGGACGATAACACTAGAATGGATCTTAGAGAAGTATGGGGCTGGGGTGGACTGGATTCATGTGGCTCAGGATAGGGAACAATGGCAGGCTCTTGGTGAATACTGCTGGGAGTATCTTGAGTGACTGAATAGCCGTTGGCTGCTCAAGAGGGACTCGCCACAATGGAAATAGTTTGTTGCTTTCATAGGCAGCCTTTGCCCGAAACATTTCCTGTAAAAGTCTGTACTCTTGAGCATAGTATCTGGCATAAATGTAGCTGCTATACCAGAACTCGTCAAGTTCTTCAAGTTAGATGTTTTGATTGAAGTTAAGTTTTTACAGTTTCCTGTTGAAATTTGAACTGCTACATAAATTTGATTAAATTCATGTCTGTGGCATGTATTATTAAGGGGGCCCATACACGAACGAGTTTGACTCGCAAGTCCGGCTCGGCAAGGAGCCGGGCTCGGATTAATTTCACCACACACGTATGAGTGTGGCGACCCCCACACGGACAAGTTTGGCTCATTGAAACCCGAGCCGAGCCAGACTCGTACGTGTGTGGGCCCCCTAAGGCTATTTCCTACCACTAACTATCCACACTTATGACAGTTTTATATATATATATATACACAGGTGTCTAGATGAAAGGTATCCGAAATAAAATAATTATATATCATGAAACCTTTATTATACACAGCTGTGAGTTACACCATTACAAAGGGAAACTATTAAAGTTTAATTTCTGAGTATATAACTTTCTCAATAAATTTCAGTGTAGGCTGCCTTGGTGGCATGAGAAATATCCAGACAATATTTTACCTCATTCCACGTTGTCTGAAGCATGTTTGGTGTTACCGTAGCCACAGCGTCCCTTATGTGGCCTTCAGGTGTCAAAGGTCATTGAGCTTAACGTAATAGACAGTGTTCTTCACATAACCCCACAAGAAAAAATCCAATGGGGTTAAATCTGGCAACCTAGGAGGCCAAGCAATTGGTCCACCTCTGCCGATCCATCACCCAGCCATCTCTGGCCAGGGGATTCCTAACATCGTGACAGAAATGTGGCAGTGCCCCATCTTATTGGAGGATAGTCTGAGGTGGTAATTGGGGCAGTGCATTCAGCTCCAGCATGTCCAAGTACAAATGTCCGGTCACAGACTTTTCCGAAAAGAAAAACGGTCCAATCAACTTGTGCATTAAGCTGGCTCACCTCTCTCCAAATTACATGTGCCATGTGGATTTTGAGTGCCTGAAATCCTGCAGTTTTACTTGTTTACAGCTCCACTGACATGGACAGTCGCCTCATCCGAGATGGATGCTTGGCAGAGGAAATCAGGTGATATGTCCATTCTTTCTATCATGTCCACAGTGTTTGTGTGGGCTACTTAGTCACTCAATTTTATTGCATGAATCATTTGAATCTTGTACACTACACTCATAGGTGGAGCCTTTTGTGTACCACATGGTGCACTGTTGAACTTGGAATTTGTAAATATAAGCTAGCAGCATGAATGTTTTTTTTTTTTCACAGACTTTACTGGAATGCCTCTCTAATGCAATTGACATTTTCTTCAGAGGTCTGTCTTTCCAGAAGCAGACTCCCTGTAGTCCTCAGTTTGTTGTCCCAGAACCAAATGCTTTTCCATATAGGAGGTTAACGTCTATATTGCATTCTAACATGACACTGGACAGCCTAAGAGATTGCAACTCTGCTAGCCAGAACATGCATTGAACCTGTTCCTATGGTGTCAACATTGTTACTGAGCTCGCCGAAAGGCACCAGCTGGCACATGCGCACAAGCCAGGCTTGAAAGAAAACATTAAGAGTTTCTCTTTCCAATGACATAAACCGGATACGTATATGACAATTAGTTTCTGAGATATAATTTTTTTATTTTGGATACCTTTGATCCGAACACCTCTATATGTAAATCCTATAGGAGATGTGTTTGGGCTTGTTTTCTCTCTCATAAGATAAACATCAATAGGTGATGGGTACAGGATGTGTAACAAGTGGCAGTGGTTTACAAGCAATGATCTTAGATGCACTAAAGATGGCCAACAAGCAGAAACACATCTGGCAATAGATTTATAAAGAAAGTGTGATAAGCATAGATGGTCAGTTACAAGAAATAATCTGTTTATATAAATATATTAGATTCATTAATTTTGTCATTTTCCATGCCATGAGTTATTGTCTGGGATCCATCCTTCTCAGAATTTCTGTATTTTTTGTGTGTTCCAGTACAGCCGAAAGGTGAAACAGAGGAGTATGTGTATGTTTCTGGGACGGGTTCCCTCGTATGTGGTTCTCTGGCTGGCATTGGTGCCAAGATATTTGTCTATCCGCTTGACGTGGCCAGGAAACGGCTCCAGATTCAGGGATTTCAGCATGGCAGGGTCGGATTTGGCAAGGTATGCATCAGTGGTACATGTTAGGTAACAATAATAGGTAAAGTGGGCCATGCCATAGCCCACATGGTTGGGCACTGGTGTCCTACCAGTCCTGAGAGACATCATGTCATGTTCACGGTGGACAAAGTGGAACTGGAGCCGGTTTTACCCCACAATTCCTGTAGTTTCCCCTTCTAATCATCATTCCACCATTGTGTCTACTGATCTGCCACTGCTCCTTGAGGTATGCGATAACCCTGACCAGACAACACGTTTATCAGTTCCTCTGTCATTAAGCTGGGTGCTTCGTGTCTGACCAGGCACTGGATACGTAACGAAGGGGCTTCTTGTTTTACTAGAAAAAAATTACTTATTTCAGGTATATTTAATGAGATAGTCATGATAGCTCCACTGGTGCAGCAGTGGGCTACAGGGTGGATAGCAGAGAATTGGTATTTGATTCCTGGTAGGGGCATAAGATCATTCTGTTCTGCACAGAATTCAGACTGACTCTGGGGTCCACCCAGCCTCCTGTACAGTGGGTATCAGGGGCTCTTTCCTTGGGGATAGTGTGGTTAGGGCAGGAAGCTGACCATCTCTCTCCAGTGCCGAGGTCAAGAAAGGTGGAGCTATATCTTGACTGCCCCACAGGACAGCTTTACCTTCATGTATACATATATCAAATTTACAAAGGTACACTGGATGTTGTTATTTTTGTAAGTTTCCTATGATTTCCACAGGATTTCACATGTTCCGGTTTGCTGGATTGCTTGTGGCGCACTGCCAGAGATGAAACAGTGCTTGGCCTGTACAAAGGAATGTGGCCGAGCATCCTGAAAGCTGGCGTTACGACTGCATTACATTTTTGTATATACGAACAAGCATGTCAGGCTATTGCTGCGACCCACAGTTAATGCCTGTAAGCCATGTAGGGCACTCAATTAAAAGAGGGCATACTGTGTACGTGGTACATGTTTAACATTGAAAACACTTAGTATATCAAACAGTGTGTGATTATTTTCAAAGAATGCTGTTAATTTATTTTTAATATGAGAGATTTTATTTTCTTGAAGAAAAGAGTGCAAGTACTATATACAGCTGTGTACTGCCAGAAATGGAAGCACTGCCCACGAAAGTACACATTTATTGGGTTATGCATACACTTAACTTCAGAATTGTTTGATTTCTCTCCCATAACCTTTTCACTGTTGTAACGTGACAGAACTTTGCCTGAACAGCTTCATGCTGGGGACTTACCCTGTGAATTGTTTTTAAGCTGTGTGAAAAGAATAACTAATAACATTAAAGACATTTAAGAAAGTCGTCTTCTGGGTTTAGGCACCGTGTATTCTTCGTTTCGGCCGACGTTTCGGAGGAACGTAGCGCCTCCATCTTCAGAGCAGTTGAATGGCTTGGAATGCGGAGAGCAATAGCAGAGCAGAAGACGACTTTCTTCATTGTCATCGCCGTGAAAACCTCAAAACTTACATATTAAAGACATTTGTTTGGAAAATATAATTGTCATACTTATTCATTGGTGAAGATAATTTAACAGTATAGGTTCTAAAGGGTTCTGACGACGGTGTGAAATACTCAGAATTACTGGGGGTCTTGAGCTTCGTTCTTCATCCGGTATTCTAGAAACTATAAAACACACCATTTTGGAAATACTGCGTTTTCTAGTTTTTAGAATACCAGACAAAGGACGAAATCCAAAAACCTAGTAATTCCGAATTTAATGATACGTAGTTCAATAGAAATACTGTAATTTGTTGAAAAGAAAATTGCATAAGACATTAAGATGTATTTTGCGGTTATGCACCACACTTATTCAAGATATTTTGCTCCCAGGTGAACACTTAATGAGATTTGGTTGAAATGTATTTAATCCCATGTGTGAAATGCTGTTAGAAGTGGTTTAATGTTAAGAAACTTGCACAGGGCAATACTCAGTATAAGTAGTAGACATTCTGTGTGAAATCATGTGTTACCAGAATCTATTAAAGATCCAGCAGATATTCATAGAAGGTTATTGTAAGTCTGGTAAAAGTAAAACTATCCCTGTAACAGACCGTGGAGGCCCATGGGGTTATGAGACATTGAGGCACCCACATTTGCTAGACAGTTGGCTCGCAGATGGTGGTGAGGTTGCCAGCCTTATGGGTTGGCTGCCCTTTACCCCCAGGAAGATACCTGGTACTCATTTCTGTTAGAGGCCCAGTCAACCCCAGGACTTGCTTACAGACTTAGGTTTAAGCCATGCAGAACCATTTCAACTGATTTCCCTAGAGTACTCAGGTTAGAATAATAATTCTTTTCAGTTCTTGTACCAGGAATCTTCCTGGGACTGACGACCCTACCACCACGTGTGAGCCAATTGTCTTTCAAATTTGGGAGCCTCAACGTCTCACAACCCTGTGGGCCTCCACAGCCTGTTACAGGGATAGCTTTACCTTTTTCTTAATGCTCTTATTTTTTTTTTATTTCCTTATATTTTTCCAAAAAGTCTGGGGAAGTGGGCAGATGCCTGGCTTTCCGCCTTCCTGGCACCTGTGAACTGCGCACAGCACCAGTTACACAATTTTACAAGTTGCTAGTCATATGTAGTCACATGCATTTACTGAGCTAATAAAATATGTATTTAACTGATAACAAACTTATGTGACTTACTCCTCATGAATTCTGAATCCTAAACTTCGAGGCCCCCCCCCCTTCTCGCCAGTCTTGCCTTTCCATGTTTGTCAGCTGTTTCCTGTCTTCTTCATATGCTCCATTTCTGGCTCTTAACTTACTGTGGGTCATCCGATAGTTCTGTTCTCTTTGAATTCTAACTGTAAGAGACTTCTCGGTGCACTACTGTACATTGTTTTAGGTGGCCAAACCACAGGAATTGTGTCTCTTCTGTGTTAATAAATTTGTCTCTAAGAATTTCATTTCTTATTGTAGCTACACTTGAATAATATTATGTCTGTGCTCTTGAAGCTGAAGGCTTCAAGGCTTCTAACACATGGGTACACTTGTACCAGACTTCACGGTGTCACATCCTGGAAGACAGTATTCTTCAGATCTGGAAATGTGTATGTAGGATAGGAAGGGAAATGTGAGTTTTTCTGTGTGGTATCAAGGCTACAGCCTTCTGTGAAATGACACCGTGTAGTCTGGTAGATACGTACGAGTACAAGTAGCAGTTCTCATCGTCATGTCCAGTTTTAGCCACATTGAGACATGTTACGCACATTACAAAGCAGAATCCCTTCCATCACTTCAGAGGTTCTCCCAAACTGCCTTCCCTTTTTGAGGGGCAGGTTGCACCTCCAGTAACCAATCCTGTTCAACTGCCAACCTCACCTTCCTGTGGCATACCCTCATTTCCACTAATGAGGCTCTGACACCACCTGTCCGGGATGATAAAGCTTGGAGCCCTGCTCCTGGACCGTCCCCTTTTGTTTAGGAGCCAGTTGTGGGACTTGCTTTCAAGATATCGTATAAATATGTAACAGTAATACAGATAGCTTTATATTCAGGAGATCCCATGTGGGGGTGGGGACTTGGACCCGAGAATGACTGCACTGACAAGGGCCAGCAGCAGCAGTTTTAAATGACAGACCCATCTTCTCGTCAGAGAGAATGCCCCACAATAACAAACCCGCATCTTTCTGGCAGTAATAAAAATCTGGTCATAAGCCCCAGTTGGGTGCTTTGTTCCAAGATAGACTGGCCATCGGTCGTAACCTCAGATTCATGACTCAGTAGCTTTATAAGTAGATTTATGGTGTTGCTGCTTGAAAGTTTCAGATTTTATTGATACAGCTGCTTAAGAATATATTAAAATATCTTGAAATAAGTGTGTGTGGAATAGGGGATTCAGATCTCCTGCAGCTACAGCACGGGCAGCTTAATTCTGTCTTGGGGAATGTTCGTATTGAAAACAGTGACGCTAGGTCTGCATCACGTGTGCGATGCATGGATGATGAAAGATTAAATGTGAAGTGTGTTGGCTACTCAGAAGGCTTTATTGCGATATGATTCATATACATTACATAAGCCTAAGATTGCCGGCATCAAGCAAGATGAACAGTATCACATGCGTAATATTTTCATAATTCATCTGTGTATGGCAGGATATAATCGCTGATGTCTGCTGAACGTAACGGTGCAAGAATATAAGAACTGTCTAGAGATTAGTTTCATGACATCCAACTTCTTGGCCGCTGTCTGAATGGTGTACGCACATGTCTTTATCTCAAGATTGCTGTCTGGGTGTAATGCCTTGTAGTCTGGTAGGAAGGTACCAGCAGCAGTTCAAAAGAGCCTGCTCTCTCCATCTTTGCGGTACATCAGTAAGCCATGCAGGAAGCAGTGGTTGTGATGAAGAGAAAGAAGGAACATGATAGGGCCTAAGAGCAAGCCAGGGGGAGTGGAGTTGAAGCAGATGTTTCCTTTTGTGGGTTATGTAACAACATGTCACTGTTGAGACTGAGTAGCATTGAATAGAATGATAAGTAGTGAACTGGAAAGTATTTGGAGGCGAGCTACTCTCCCGGCATCTGTTTGGAAGGACTCAGAAGACCGTGAAAAGCCACAGGAAGGATAGCCAGGATTCAAACCAAGCACCACAAGAATGTGATTCTAGAGCGTTATGTCAGCGCTCTTGGTGCAAAGTGCACGGAAACTGTGTCACTGTGTGAAGAGAGGTAAAAGGTAAGATGTCGAGAAAGTGAACAAAGCAAAGACACGATATATAAAAATAAATAACAGAGTAATGTAATAACATGAAAATAAATAAACTGGAAATATCATTGTTTTTCTTCAGTTCTGCTTACTCTTCTACCTTGAAAATGGAGGCAGCTTTGTCCTCTGAAGCATTCTTAAAAACCAGATTACATGGCATCACATTGCAGAAGACATTAATATTCATGGTTACGACCACAAGAACTTCAAATCTTTTATCTGTTTTGATTGTACCGAAGCGTCAAATTTTGGGAGTTGACATTGTCCCATCTGCAGAGGAATGGGTTGATCAGTTTCTTTGTAATCATCAATTCTTCCTTTTAATAATTTGTAGTTTCTTTTGTCTGATTTGTTTCTTTCCATGACACTTCTTGAAAGTTCATCTCAAGCTGCTTCAGTGTCTTCGTTTAAGCACGGATTACAATTAGGAAAATGCCATCAAAGCTAAGTCCTCTTTGAGTTGTAGTGAACGTTTAGATTTGAGTTCATTATTGACACAAACTTGTTTTTGTTAATGCGATACACTTCATCGTATTGTCTTGCTGCTCGTGCAAAATTCAACAAAGGAGAAAAGCCTAAGGAAACACAACATTTTTCAGTATTTGATTAAGAGAATTCTTACATGAAATAATCTCCATTTGAAGTATGTGTAGGAAGGTACAAACGTTAAAAGTTACATCAGCCTCAAATGAAAGTTGGGGGTTTGTTGAACTGTACACAAGGGAAACACCAAATCTAGTCTTCAGTGTATGTCTGTGGGCCAGGATTCTAATGCATGACCTCCCACGTACGGAGGAGGAACGGTGACCATCCACCATGGTGTCTGAACACTTCTGGTACGAGTAGGAATTGCAGTTTGCCAAAAGTTATCTTCCGTACGAGATTGTATATCCCATGTTGGCCATGAGAGTGTCCTTCAGTGCAGGTTGCAGCTGTTTCTCCATGTACCTTGTGAGGAGGGACTGGATTCCTCGCAGAAACACGTCCTCAATTTCTTGCGTGAAGTCGCCCTCATCTGTTCTCTTGAAGATAGGAGGCGTGTTGATGTTTGCACTGCGCCTGTGTTCCCTGCTGGGGGGCTGACAGCCGTAAGCATGTACACTTACAAACTGTGGCTTCACAAAGTGGGCAGAAGTCTGGAGCTCGATGTGACCTCTAGATACCTGCAGTGGGAGCGCGGATACTCCGAGACCGGCTTGCCGCAGGCGTAAAGTCATGTTGCAAGTCTCGGTAGGCATAGGAAGCAACGGGTCTTGGAGCACAGCCTTCTCGTCATAAAGCTTGACCACTCCGCTCACCTTCAGGTCTCGGAATGTGAGTCTGGTCTCCACACTCGCGTTGTGCGGGTCATAGTGGCACTTGTCAATGCGGAACCAGCTCGTTCTTGCCGGGATGTGAACTCTCATGTTGGTGACGTACATGTCGTAGGGCGCCGATCGCATTGGCTGGTGTAGGGCGTAGCCAGTTAGATCCACTAGCGCGTTATTGGAGCCGAGGACACCGTTAGAGTTGGAGTTTTGGATTTTCTTCATGGCTTCCATTCGGCTCTCTACCCTTGACGCACAGCGATTGGACCCAGGTGCGGGATGACCGATGATCCGTTCTTCTGGGGATATAATTAAACATGTTTGAGTAGTTTTTTTTTTTTCAAAATATTATGTACTTAAACCGAGAAATCACTCCGTCCTATTTCCTTAAAATCAATTTTAATATTATCCTCCCATCTACCCTCAGGTATTCCTAGTTGTCTCTTTCGTTCAGGTTTCCTTACTAATTCCCATCCTTGCCATGTTGTACAGAATAATAAAAGGTAAAGCTATCCCTGCAACAGGCCGTGGAGGCCCATAGGGTTGTGAGGCGTCGAGACCCTCATACTTTTTAGACAGTTGGCTCACAGATGGCGGTGCGGTTTCCAGCTTTACTCGCCAACCGCCCTTTACCCCCCAGGAAGCTTCCTGGTACTCATTTCTGTTAGAAGCTGAGTCAATCCCAGGGCCATAGTGCGGCTGGAAGGATTAGGTCAATTGAAAAATCCAGTGACCTCACCGGGAATCAACCCGCGACCTTCCGGCTTGTAGCATAGTGCCTCAACCAACTACGCTACCGCGCGCTCCCCATTCCAAAATAATAATCTTGTTTATCATTAGAGCAGTCATGCATTGCGTACCTTTGGTGGCACGTGTGATTCCCAGAATGTGATGTGGCAGAGACATGACCAGGAGGAACACTATCCACGTTCTCGCCATCGCGGTCGGTGGCAGGTCTGAAAATGAGAGACAGCTGCATGATTCTTTTGGTCAGTAACATGTCACACGCCACCATCCCTTACTTTGGTTAATTCAAGTGGGATTTACAATGAAATGGTGATACCGAGGTAGGGTTTCTCTGAGTTTCTTCGGCGTTCCCCTGTAATCATGCTTCCACCACTGCTCCACCGTCCCCTGAGATGTCCGATAGGATTGATCAGGCAGCACATTTTGAAGAAAAAAAAACCGTGACTTCGACGGGAATCGAACCCACGAACTTCACTTGGTCTTTAATGTAGGAGCTTCGTGTGTGATCCTCCAGTTGGCTGGGTACAGAGTGAGGGAGTTGCAAACACGCTCCGGTTACGTACACCTGTACAAACCCCTTCCTACTTTGCCGAAGACCAGGAGGTCTGCGTGGATGCGCTTATACAACTTTCACGTATAATTTTATTGTGTGTCTCCGTGGAAGCGGAACAGTTTGAAGCATTCTTACTTAGCAGAACTTAATTCTGAAGAAAGCATTTCCTTACTCAGACGACACACATACGCGCAGACGCGATGAATAAAACTAACATAACGAGGTTGCTACAGAAATCCGTGTCGCGAGGGGCATTGCTGGATGTAGCCTCTTGAATCGTGTGAAATCAAGAAATTGCGAGAAAGCTATGCGTTCCACGGGTAACAGAATTCATTGAACAATGCAGAAACAGGATGAGATCTGACATGGCTCCACATTAAAATATCAACCGAAAGGCCCCTGGAAGGACGGAAGATATCCATAACATATCTGAAGAACACTTGCAGACAAATTCCGGGGTCGCCTCCTTCCACGCCCCTTACAGTTCATGATTCGCTAATCCTACAGTTTGATGCTGTATGGTCTCAGTGACAGCGTCGTTAAATAAACAATTAAAGCGGCCAGGGGTTAATAATGCACGTAGCTGTATCTCCATTCCGCCCATACGCCTTCGTGGCGTGGTAAAAAGGTGAAGCTTTCCGTGTAACAGGCTGTGGAGGCCCATAGGGCTGTGGCATGTCGAGGCTCCCACATTTTCTAGACAATTGGCGCACAGATAGCGGTGAGGTTGTCAGCCTTACGCGCTGGCCGCCCTTTAGCCCGAGGAAGATTCCTGGTACTCATTTCTGTTAGAGGCTGGGTCGACCACAGGGCCATAATGTGGCTGGAAGGATTAGGTAAATTGAAAAAATCCACCTCATCGGGACTCGAACACGAAACCTTCCAGCTGCCGCGTGCCCCGTCATGTCGTAGCTCCTGCTTGTAAAGCAGCGTACATACCGCGATCCTCAGGTGAGAGTGTGGGGCAGAGACTCCATGCTCCAGAGATCTCGCTTTGTTCTGACGAGCGACCTCTTTCTATCTGCTTCCGGTGGCAGCCCCAATCCGGCCACATCTGTGGCTTTCTAAATAGAACAACATGGTTCCTCTTGTGTCGCTTCAACACTCGGAACGTCTACTGCTCGACCCCCCCCCCTAAAATAGTGGTTCTCAAACACACTCACACCGCGACTCCCAAAATACTTCGTTATTGGAGTTCCCTACCAGTGAGTACGGTGGCAGCTGGAACCTAAATATCTTTACAGTCTAACGAAAGGGGATCATAACGAATCTCTAATTTCCACGTTCTGAACCCAAACCTGTATCGACTCTGGACTGTGTTGTAAAATGTTTTATATTTTTCATGTGGTGCGGTTTTCGAGCATATATTCAACAGTATATAATGTATAGACATTTATTTTGGGGGCACGCGGTAGCATAGCTGGTTGAGGCACTATGCTACAAGCCGAAAGGTCGCTGTTCGATTCCTGATGAGGTCATTGGATTTTTTAATTAACGTAATCCTTCCAGCCGTACTGTGCCCGTGGAGGGCTCTTGTGAACACGGTAATGAACTTTCAGGTTCCATAAAATGTTGGGAAGTTCTTGAGTAGCTGAGCGACTGGCGGCTTCTCAAGAAGGGCTCAACTGCATGGAGTCAGTTTGACTTACCGTCAGTGTGAGTATCTACACGTAGCAGGGAATAGATGGTTCTGACGATGGTGTATAACACTCAGAATTACTGGGTTTTTTAACTCTGTCCAGAGTCCGGTAATTTAGAAACTAGAAAATACGTTTCAGAAACTGGCTCTGTTTCCGTCCTCAGTTGACGGAAGGTGGGGGAAGACACCTTCTCAGCTGGGTCCCTTAGAAAGAGCTAACCTCAATCACTGGACAGCCCCTGTCAGATTCACTACGGCTTTTAATCTCCTGACGCTTAATCGGCCAGAGATAACAGGAATTAGCCTGGTCAAACTAGAGTTAGTAAGTAACTGCATAGAGCAGTGGGTTGAAAAATGTGGGTGACTCTCCTCTGAGGGGTGTGTCTGAAGTACGGGATATTCTGGGAAAGTTATATTATAAAATTAAATTGATTATAATTCTCGAAACCCCATAGAAATTTCTAAGATATCGTTAAATTAAGGGTAAAGGTATCCCTGTAACAGGCCGTGGAGGCCCATAGGGTTGTGAGACGTCGAGGCTCCCACATTTTCGCTAGACAGTCGGCTCACAGATGGCGGTGAGGTCAGCCTTACGTACCGGCCGCCCTTTAACCCCCATAAAGACTCCTGGTACTCATTTCTGTTAGAGGTTGAGTCGACCCCAGGGCCATAGTGCTGCTGGAAGGATTAGGTCAATTGAAAAATGCATTACGTCGTCGGGAATCGAAATCGAAACCTCCCGGCTTGTAGCATAGTGCCTCGACCAACTACGCAACCGCGTGCCCTCAGTCTCGTTAAATTATAATTGATAAAAACCTGAAATATCTTTGAGTGGGATTCGAACCCACGATCCAAGCGTTGGAGCGAGCGAAGACAGTTCGGCGCGGCCACTGTGACCGGCTCCCTAAATGTTGAGCACATGAGAACAATCACAAGGACATGAAATGGGGTTCCACGGGCTGCACTCACCTGACGCCTGTTGGTATCCGAGACTGGGGCTGAGGGGCTCTGGCGGCGGTCGCGATGAACGTCTCCAAGTGACTGCCTGATTCTGGCGGAGAAACCGACTGTTTCCGAGTCGCTGGAACGAAAGAGAAAGAGTCGCATTAAGCAGGTCATCTTTTCTATTCTTCTGGAACAGAGACGCCTAGAGGTCTCGCAATGCTTCTGTCACCTCCGTCAGTCGCTCAAACCGTGGTCCGCGGCTCAATTCCTCACACTCGCAAAGTGCTACTCTGTCATGCTGTTACGTTACCATCAGAGATTCAGTAGTCGGTAGTCAGCGCGGTCGGTATAGCGACTGGCTACGGGCTGGACGACCGAGGGGTCGGTAGGGTCAAAAATTTTCTCTTCCCCAAATCGTCCAGACCGGCTCTGGGGCCCACCCAGCCTCCTACCCAGTGGGTACTTGACGCTCTTTCCCTGGGGGTAAAGCGGCCGGAGCACCCCCTGATGTGTGCTATAGGCCTGACCACGCAGCGCATTGCGTAAGTTAGGCATTCGCAATTAAAACCTAAAATCCGCCGCAGTTAGTCGCACGGAAGGTTCAGAAACAAAGTCTACCTTCCGTGCCCTCGTCTCACAAGGGTCTGGGGTTTGTAACTCGGCTGCACGCCCCCATTTCCAACTAGTGAAGAGGTCAAGAATACATGGCTCTATACGTCCACTCCCCCCATACGTCTTCATGGCGTATTGCTTAATTAGTTAAGCACAGGGACAACTTTATCTTACCTTTTATTTTCAACACGCGACGTGAACCAGTCTCACTGAACACAAACAGTTCTGTACCAGTAACCCTGTACGCTTTTATTCGGAAGATGTTCGTTTCGAATCTTTGCCGAGTTACTGGCTATCCTGAATTATATGTTTCGTGGTTTTCCTCGGTTACTGCAAGGATGGTGCCCCTGTTAGGCCATGCCCGCCTCCTTCCAGATTCTACTCAATTCATCTGTCATAATCCGACGCTATGCAGTCTGTTCACTGACAGCGTCGTTAAACACACACACACCACTTACTCTTCTCTCTAATGTATGTTACTTACATTTTCCAGTTTCCCTGTCTCTCCGTTTAATTGCGTGACCAGAAGCGAGGTTATGTCGATGTCGTGGAGTTCTGAGATCGGCCATTGCATCCCTCAGAAATTGGGGCGTGCAGCCGAGTTACAAACCCCAGACCCTTGTGAGACGAGGCCACGGGTGGTACACTTTGTTTCTGAACCTTCAGTGCGATTTAGATGTTCATGCCGCATGCAAAACTCACGTGACCAGCCAAGAGCCGGGACAGAGGGGAAGCCCCTAACTCAAAGTCCGAAGATGTGATACTGTGCTGCGTGATCAGGTCTACAGCACGCCTCAGGGGGCTGTGATGGGTGGGTTATGATTGTAGAATGTCCGACATGTGCCACTTTGTCCACCGCGAATCTCAAGTAGAGTCAACTGGGTTCGAATCCAATTGTAAATATGGAAAGCGTGGAGCCTGTTACGGAGAATTCTTGGAAGCCATTTCTTGGGCGTAAAAACATAAGTTTGTCTAAATATGGCCTCTTTCCCTCTTCTGCGGAATACAATTTCACTGTCTTCGCCTCAGTTTGGTGCACATGATAAGATACCTGTGTGGTTAACAACGAAAATGGCGCATTAAGTATATTTACATAATTATTTTCTTGTGTACTTTCTCCTGAGAACAGAGAGTCAGAAAGAAAGTTGCCGTGTATCTTAAAGATCACGGAAACTCAGGACTTCAGCTTGTCCCATATATCACGGGGACGGTCTATACATATGTTCGGGAGGTGCTCTGTTCGAATGCCGGACGCGACACCTTCTATCCTGTCCGAGGTTTCTCTTGAATTCTTAAGCCCCTCCAGGCAAATGCCGGTATAGTACCTCGAATAAGCCACGACCACTTCCTCCAGGCCCTTTCAATTCGCCAATAAGCGTACCATTCGACGGTTAGGTACTCAAATCCTGGATTCTGTCCAATAAAACACAAAATACGCAGCGGTACAACCAATTGATATGACCACAACAAATTACGACAGGTTAATAGAATGAAGAAAAAAGCGCCATGGCTCTGACGGTTACACACTGCCTTCTTACCGCGCAGACTAGGGTTCGAACACAGGTAACTTTATGTGAGATTCGTAGTGGACGAAGCGGCGTTGGAGCAGTCTGTCTCGGACTTTCTTCGGTTTTGCCCCGCTACTCATCATTCCACCATTGCTCCATTCCCATCTATCACAGCCCCCTGAGTTGTTTGATAGGCTTGACCACGCAGCACAATATCATATCCTCGTGCTCCCGGTTGGATGCAGAGCGAGGAAGTCAGTTTCAGTCTGCAGACCAGAAGCCCGCAGCCAACCCATGGGACAGAGCCCTTCTTGAGACGTTGGCGGAGGTTCACCTCGCCCGGCGCTCGGCTGGATGCAGAGCGAGGAAGTCAGTTTCAGTCTGAAGACTAGAAGCCCGCAGCCAACCCATGGAGCAGAATGCCGCTTGAGACGTTGGCGGGGGTTCACCTCCTCAGGAAACTTCCCACGTTTTATGAAGCCCGCAGATTAATTATATTCACAGTGGCCGGCCGCGCGGTCTAAGGCATGAACCGTCTTCGCCCGCTCAGACACTTGGGTTCGTGGGTTCGAATTCCATTCGAGACATGGATGTCTGTGTGTGCTTTTATTCTGTGTTTGTGTTGTTTTGTGTGTAGGTAGCGGCCTTGCGATGGGCTCATCTCCCGTCCAGGGAGCCCTACCAACTGTGTATAAGCTTAAGAAACTGAAAAAGCGGCCAAGGTCCATAAGGACTCTAGAGCTATAGATAGAGGCAGCGCCATAGCTCAAGCGGTTAGTCGCTGACTTCCCACCGCGGCGGCCCGGGTTCGATCCCGGTTCCGGTCAAGTGAGATTTCTGATGGACAAAGTGGCTCTGGGGCGGGTTTTCTCCGAGTACTTCGGTTTCCCTTGCCAATCTTCATTCCACCAAATTCTCCGTCATCATACTAACCCGGGGCAGGTACAATAGGCCAACCAATCAGTGGCCGACGTGCCGAGTGGTCCCAGTTGGACTCCACCCCCCACTAAGCGAATTAAAGAAAATTAGATAGTAGATAAGGTTAATTGTACTGTTTTCTCAAGAACCCGCCACTGGCCCCTATCGCGTGTCGCACAACAATACACTATTTCTTAGACATTCATTTCAATAATATCCTCCCATTTCTGCTTGAGTCTCGCAGGTGGTCTCTTCCCTTCAGGGTTTCAAACAAAATATTTGCATGCATTTCTCATTTCTCCCACACGTATTATATGCTCTGTGCACTTCATCTCTCTTGCCTTGAACGCCGCAGCAGTGAGTACTCGGTGAGGAGTACAGTTTCTAGCCCTCTGCTGTTTCCTCCCTCCGAGATATGGATAGTCCCACCACTCTGCATGCAGAGGAATCGGAGTTCGAGTCCCGGTAAAGTGAAGAATTTTCTCTTCTCAACAGCGTCCAGACCGGCTCTGGGCCCCACACAGCCTCCTATCCAATGGGCACCAGGAGCTCTTTCCCCGGAGGTAAAGCGACCGGGGCGTGAAGCTGACCAATCACCTCAAGCTAGTGTCGAGGTCAAGAAAATGTGGATCTGCACTCTCCCCCACTACCCACTCCCCCATACGCCTTCATGGTGTTAGTTAAGCACAATTTATTTGCTGACAGATATACGCGTAAACTAGTTCAGTTTATGCTGCGGATGCATGTTTCTGCACATGCTGGCCATTCGTAACCTTACACAGACAAGGCGTGTAGTAGCGATACGGGAGATGTGTTGTGCACCAACCTTAGCTTGTCGCTGGCTGGCTGCAGCCGGTTGGCTCTGCGTAACTTCACTTGTTCCCACGCAAGGATCCAGTGTCACCGTCGGGCTCGTCGGGCTACGGCTTAACCGGGCCGCGGTCTCGCAGGCTGAGAGCCGCTGCGTCACTCGACACTGCCCTTCTTCATATCTGTTCTATTCGTTTGCAGTTTGCTTATCTACGCTTTCAGAACAGACTTCACGGCGTCAGATGTTTGGAAAACAGCGGATCATATGGAATGGAATGGGCCGTAGCCTAACTTAAATCACTATCCCCAGCTGGGGGATTAAATAACGTCACAAAACCTTAATTAAGAGAGTCGGTGTCACGGTCGAGATCCGATCCCAACACTTCCCGAATACAAACCCGAAACGCTACCTTCTGGGCCGAAATGCCCAGCATCTCACCTCAAAACAAGCCATGGATACTATAACTTCCTAACAAACTGCATGGAGGTGGATCCTTCTTGAGAAGCTAACGCTTGCTCAGCTGCTCAAGACATTACCAGTATTTTATGGAGCCCGAAGGTTCGTTACCGCGTTCACAGGAGTCCGCCACTGCTTCTTGTATTAATTGCAAGAATATTAAGATATATATAAAAATAAAGTACTGTCACGTGTATAAACCCGGGACAGCGCAGTTAGTATAGCGACTGGCTACGGGCTGGACAACCAAGGGGTCGGAAGTCGAGTCCCGGTAGGCACAAAATATTCACTTCTCCACGTCCAAACCGGCTCTGGGGCCCACCCAGCCTCCTATCCAAGGAATACCGGGGGTTCTTTCCCCGGGAGTAAAGCGACCGGAGCGTGAAGCTGACAACTAACCTCCAACTAGTGCCGAAGTCAAGAATACATGGTTCTATACATCCACTCCCCCATACGTCTTCATGGTGTAATGCTTAATTAGTTAAGCACAAGGACAACTTTACCTTACCTTTTACTGTCACGTGTGTGTGTGACTGTAGACGGGGTTTGGATTGGTGAATGGATTTTATTGGCCACTTATAGAGGGTAACAGTAAGTAACACCAACACTAACGCTAATGCACGCACTAAGTCTTCTCTGTCTGCTGTGTCTTCACCAGTCGCTGCCTGGTAACGGCTTCCAACCGCAGACGTTCCCCAGTCTGGGTTTCCGAACTATCACCATGCCTCAGCTACTAGCCTCTAATACCAGCGGCTCACAAGAAAGGAACCGCAGCTGCACTCACACACTCACCAACCAACTCTCTTTTCACTTCGCTTCACTTCACTTCACTTCACTCAACTCAACTCGATTGAACTCGCTCTACTAATTGTTCTGCTTACACCATCTAGGCACGGGCAACACAGAAAACACCATTCCTCTGTTCCTGTGTCCACTGTTGCGTGCGCAGCCATTGGTGCTGAGCGTCCATCCAGTCGTTTGACGCATGTTTATACACTCTACAGATCACTGTAACTACAGCACACACAAAGTCTCGTATGCCTGAATCTTCCTGGAGGGGTAAAGGGCGGCCGATGCGTAAGGCTGACAACCTCACCACCATCTGTGAGCCGACTGTCTAGACAAAATGTGGGACCCTCGACGTCTCACGACCCCATGGGCCTTCACGGTCTGTTACAAGGGTAGCTTTACCTTTCTTTACCTTTTATGCCTTCACTAGTCGTTTCCTGGTTACGGATCCTAACAATGTCCTCTACTAACGTTCTTACCGGCTGGCGAGTATCCCTCACGTGATTAAATTGAGTCTGAATCTGATGTTAACGACCGACGGTCAGTCGGCCAGTCTGGGGCTTATGGTCGGATTTTTATTACTGTCAGGCAGTTTCAGGTTTGTTGATGTGGGGCGCTCTCTCTGACGAGAGGACGCGTCTGTCGTTTACAATTGCTGCTAGCCCTTGTCAGGGCGTCATTCTCGGGTCCGAGACCCGTGGGACTCGTGACCATATTTTACTGTCTCAGATTGGAGACTGTCCTTTTCGTCGCCTCCTACGACTCACAGGGCTCCGGTGGAGGTATCCGACCCCGCCTCCACACGGGGCAGCTGAGTAAATTCTAAACGCGTACCGTTTATAACTCTTTGGCAAGGACTTGGTACAAAGCTCCGCTCCTCCTTGTTGAAGCTGCCGTTGCCGCTGGAACATGTTTGTTTGCAAAGCCGCTACTCGGCAACGGCTCTTGCATACTTGTTTGTCTCGCGGTCGTTATGAAACAACGGGTCTACATGCTGTATTATTAATGTGTTTTGCAGCGTTCTTGTGCTAAGTATCAGGCTATGAAGGAGAACAGAAGGCGTGAAGGCAAAAGTCCACGCATTCTAAACCAAGGCACACATATTGACGTTAAGTGGTCAGCTTCACGCTTTGATCGCTTTATCGCCAATGAAATGTATGTTTGTTTCTTCATTGGGTTAATTCAAAGCGCTCTGTCTCGTTCATGGTCTAGTTCCTTGTTATCTTCACAGGCTCTATTTGAAAGGAGTGTGACTATGAAAAGTATCTTACTTACTTACTTACTTACTTACTTACTTACTTACTCACTCACTCATGGAGCTGAGCCCTTCTGGAGGAGCTGCCAATTCTGCAGCTACCCAAGAATATCCCAGCATTTTATGGAACCCAAAGGTTCATTACCGTGTTCAAAAGAGCCCTCCACTGGTCCCTATCCTGAGCCAGATCAATCCAATCAATACCATCCCATCCTATCCATTTTAATATTGTCCACTCACCTACACCTTGGTCTTCCCAGTGGTCTCTTTCCTTCTGGCTTCCCCACCAATATCCTATGTGCACTCCTCGTCTCCCCCATTCCAAGTGCCAAATCTCATATCCATTTTCTTTAGCTTAGTTCGTTTATCCAAGGAATCCGTCCAGGTCCGAGATTCATTTTCGTAACAAAGTAATTTTTTACGGTGAGGAGTTTAGCCCCACGCCGAACCCCCAAGCTGGAGGGCCACCCCTTGTCGGCTGTCCGCGACTGCTTATTCGATATATTCGCAACTACCCTCCATACCTGTAGGGCGTCTCCTCCATACGCAACCTGAGAACGCGCCATGCCGTGGTGACAGGGACCCACCTAACATGAAAGGTATATTTGACAAAATATGTAAAAAGCGTGGCCTACTTTAAATACGCGATTCGAGTGACGGAAGAACAGAACTGAAAGCGGAGACTAGAACCAGGGACCTCAGGGACACGAAACAAATCTGCTAACCACTGCATCGGCAGTAGCCTGTGTCCAAACTGCAACAGACGGGCACAGCGAACAAAAACATCCCTTGAAGAAGGCCGTCTTCTGGGATGTGGTGCCGAGTAGCTCTTGCGTGAACCGACGTTTCGGAGGAACGAATCGCCTCCATCTTCAAGGTACAAAAATCCGCAAACGAAGAACCAACGTCAGCAGCCACGTGGGTAATCACGTTTCGTAAAGCAGGGGATATTTTCACTGTCAGATTTATTACCAGTTCCTCTAGAAGGCCCTCCTGTATATTGCAGCTGGTTAGTGGTTTCCGGTAAACGCTTTGGTTCGCCTGACATGAGCTGTGTAACAAAAGCATATTTGCTTTAACCTGGTTCTGAAGTCCCGCCTCCCTGGCACAATTCTAATCCCATTACGAGATTTTTCAACTGAGTTTCATTTCCAGAACCTCTGGAGTCGAACCTAGGGCTGTATCGTGCCGTTCCAAGACGTTTACACAAAGCGTGATGTATTTATATGTGGTAGCCCTCAGATTCGAACTCAGGCCATTTGAATGGTTTCCAGTGCATCTACAATTTTAGTCAATGTGGCATCCAGTAAATCTGGAATATTTAAGACATGAAATTTAGTAACTAAAAATCGTGCATTCATTTGAACTCCATTTTAGAGACAGAATTTCTCTTCAAATTGTCTGAAATA